CAGCCAAGCAGTGCCAAAAAGAAAACAAAATGACATTCGTCGACTGTTTTGCACGCATGTATTACCAGGTAGTCCAATCAGGTGCAGAGATTGCGCCTTTTAATCTATGCATACTTTTTTTTTGTGACTTTCAGGTTTTTGGTTTGTACAGTGCTCTCGACGGCGAATATAAGCCAGAAAGCCGAAGGAGCGATAATATGAATTTCATTAACTTTTGGGCTCTTTTAGTTGTTTCCTAAATAATATTGCAAAAAGCTGAATACACTAGAGTATAGCTTACACGTTCAGAGTTGCTGTCCACTAAAACTAGAAAGGTGTGTCAAAATTGTCGAGAGATTGCTCGGGACCATTTTAACCCCGGTTTACATTTGGGCCCATTTTATCCGGAACAGTTGACGGGGACCATTTTGTCCTGCACCCATTTTATATACTAGTGCTGATTCTTGTTTGAAGGTGAAAGTACTTGAAATTTTTTATCAGTCTGGTTGAAGCTGTGCTTGAAAAATTTGGCAAATGGTGCCATATATGTTAATGGGACAAATGCAAATATGTGAAATGTTGCCTTTTTTCAGTTTGTGAACATGATTTAGTTGTTTTAAAAGCAGCTGCAGGCATACCAAAGCGTATTGCCTTAAGTATACCTAAAAAGTACTTCAAGTACAAAGTAAATTGGAGCTTTTGTAGTTCAAGTGAAGTAGGAAGCAGACTGAACACAACATACTTCAAGTACTGCAAATACAATAAATTTTCGAAGTAACCTGCGAGTACTTTTAGCACCATCTTTCGAAATTTCCTTTCACCCCTATACAATGTTGTTTTCTTTTCACTCGCTCGCATCGCTTTAAAGGTAATCAGGGTGCATCAGTTATTTTCGGAAATGGCGGCGAATATGCGATAAGATCGAGTGGCCACGAACTGGCTATTTTCAGAAATGGGGACAAATTCAAAAGTTTTTCCGACTTGTGAATTTGGCGCCACTTCCACTGGCTTGCACCCAAGGAGGTTAAAAGTACTAGGAGATAGTATGACGTCAGCCCCGTAGCTTCCACAAGCAATACTCTCATGGGGGAGTGTCCTCTCTCGTATATATATAATTTTTTTTTATTACTGCGATAGCAGTTAGTGGGGAACTTTGCGGGTTTTAATTAAAACTTGTTGTTGGCCTAGTTGGTTCATGATGCAGTATAGAGGTTTTTTGCGCGACACAAGGGACAATTACAAGCGAGTAGACACGGACAAGCGGGTTTTGCGCCGTTAACCGCGCGCCATATCGACGCGGGCCATTTCCGGCACTCCACCAAAACATTCCGCATTGACGTCACGCCACACATTGCATCACCTGTTACGTTATTAGATTACCTCAGTTAGGGAACTGCTCGTAGACGCTGCTTGCACAAGCAATAACCCCCACTCACCTTGACTTGCCTCCCGTTATTCGACGCGCCGGACGGCTGCTAAGGTAGCTGTAGTGCATTCTATGGAATACAGATGGTTCATAGCACAGCATCTATAAAAGTGAGTGAGTGAGAGGGGGGAAGGTATTTTTTTGCATGGGAGTTCCACAACTGAGGTAATCTCAGTGATGTCATCCGGGGTAGCGATCTGCCGCGACACTTCCCTCCCCTCCCTGCGCTAGTGGCCCGCCACGATATTCCCCCCCCCCCCCCCCCCCCCCTAGTGACGCCACTGGGGAATCTAGTAACATTGCCTGTTGTCTGGCATCAGCTGACTCCATGACGCGACATTGTCATGTCGTCGGGTCGCTCAGTGACGCCACGGGACTTACTTACGTCAGGTGACGTAGTGAGTCACATGATGTCACGACATCATGTGACACTGTAATGTCACTTGAAAATATGTCGTCGCGTGACATCATGACGGCACATAGAAACGTAATCATGAGACTGCTGATAATGGGAAGAATAAAACAAAGCGTTTTCACTAATTATGCCAGAAAAAGTACCGGGGGACCACCCACCTCCCTTTCACCGAAAACTGGGCTAATCTAGGCATGGGTGCTTGTCCGGTCAATTTGGGCTCTTAACCTATAATTTGCAGAATCCCCAAGTTTGGGAAGTGTCAATAGTGGGCGCATGAACGAAGTGCGCTCTTCCGTGGGCATGAAAATGGGAGGAACTACATGCTTGAAGCTTGAGTACGTGCTTTTGGAAATGTTCTTCGTTGACCACAAACCGCTGTTAGCGCGAGTCTAATAACATGGCATAAGACGTTCAGGCAGCCACACCGACGGGGAACGGTTCATGCATACACATGCAGTTTCGTCGTTTCCTGGATTTCAAACTTGGGCGCGTGATTTTCGAAGTTTTAAAATACCACAAGGCTGTCCTAGTTTGCCTTCAATAAAATTGTTTAATAGGTTCACAAAATGAGCCTGCTAAATACGCCCTCATTAATTCCAAAACGCTGTGGACTTTTCGTCCGGCATGTTAATCTGTTTATTACGAAGCGCCTCTCCGGATGCGAAACGCCTACGCGAAATGATGCCTAAGCGGCTCCCACGTCACACCTTGGCTGTCACTGTTTCACCTTCCGGGTTGCGTAAGTCTTTTTGTACATATCTTGCATGCAGACAGACGAGTGTTGGATGTAAGGTTTAAAATTTCTCTATCGACACAGAGAAAAACAAAATGTATCGCATATTCACCATCGTTTATATTTTCTCGAGGATAATAAAGTTGGTTTGGGCACGTTGTGGTTGCTGTTTGGAGAGATGCAGTTGGCAAGGAACACCACTTTCCTTTTTCATTAAAAAGCTGGAAACCTTTTGTTATTCATTTAGGATCGTATATAGTCTTTGCAAAACTCTGGTGTAAGCTTTGCACGCCAGTTTGCAGGGAGGGTTTTAGATTGTAGTAATTTTGAAAAGTTTCATAATTATTCGCTGGTATAAATATTTACTCTTCAACCTTTGAAATCCATACAGGTAGCGAGCTCCAGTTTTGCAAATCGTGATTTTTGAAAAGTGCTACAAATATTTGTTTGTATACACACGTGAATGTTGAAAGTTCGAATATCGGTGCATTATATATTCGGAGGAATCGTATAGTATCGCAGATTCTATATTTACAAGAGTGCTTGTTTTTGTTCTGTGTTTTTTTTTCCACTGTTTGCCTTATGCATAGGCTCATGGGTGGGCTTCTCTGCGCCGGACGTGCACTGTGGAAAAGCGACACCCTTGGCGGTAGAGTATCGCACATTACAGGAGTGGCCAAACTGCGGCTCGCAAGTCGTATGTGGCTCTTCGTGGGCTCAAGTGCGGCTCGCAGCTCCCTGCTAAGCATGCTTCCTTCCCTACCCCCCTCCCCCGAGAAAAAAAAATTATAAAATTTAAAAGAAAAAAAAAAGTCTGTTTTGGCATTTTTGTATTACACTACTTACATACAGCTGGTCTGCTTTTTGACGAATAGATTTGTCCAGCGGCATTGGTTGCTTTACTGTACTGGAAAGAATTTCGAACCTTGTACGGATAACAAGTATCAGGGTCAGTGGTTGGCTAGCAAACCATGCATTCCTTTTTGCTTAGTGGTTGCAAAGAAAGGAACTGCTGCCTGGTGTTATTTGTTGTAGTCGGCAGTACCTGTCCCCTATGGAAAGGACTGTTCCCCTTATTTCTTGTTAAAAGCGCCCCCCCTTCCCCCAATTTTTATTTCCTGCGGCTCTCTGAACTTTTTGTAGATCTATCTCTGGCTCTAACCGCATGTCACTCTGGGCTCAACTGGGCGGGAGGCACTCACTTGATCGAATGACGTTTTAGCGAACGCCCTCGTTTCACCGAATGACACTTTAGCGAATAGTCGGACGCCGCGAAGCGGCGTTTTCGGGTGGGCCAAGTGAGTTCATATTTTTGTAATGAGTTGCCGCAGACTGTCGCCGCGCAGCGGCGTAAAGCGCAGCGCGATGGATGGGTTAACGCGCGCCCCCGTTATTCGCTAAAACGACCATTCGCTCAAATGTCGCCGTTCGCTAAAATGTCATTCGATCTTGTGATATGGACCCCAACTGGGCTCCTAACCTCGTCAAACACAAAGTTGGAGCCGAAAGTTCGTAAAGCACGCCAATTAAACGTGGAAAAAAAAAAAAAAAAAAGCACGAAGTCCTCGTTTTGATAGGCCAATCGGCGTGCTCTAGGCTGTCAACTTTGGCCCCAACATTGTGTTTGACGAGTTTAGGGGCCCTGGTATATTACTACTTGTTAAAAACCATTTTTAAAAAAAAAGAGGGTGCTTGAAGTAACCAGAAGATTATTTCGTATTAAAGGCGTTTTTGCCCACGGCAGACGTCGGGATGCGATTGAAGTGCGGTGGACACATAGAGGGTGGACAGGAGGCGGGGCGAAACAGCACCGATAGCGCGGGCCCATAAGTCGCCGTGTGCTGAACATTGTAGAGTCCATTAGATCGAACATTCTATATTGAAACATGTAGGGGCAGCTGGGATTCAATCGCGAGAGGAAGGAAAAAGCATGCAAAGAATAGCTGATGCGGCAGTGGGCGCGGACTAGCAGACAATTCAGAAACCGAAACCTAAATTACAAAAAAAAACAAAAGGTACTGAAATGGAGTATTATGCATATTATAAGTTCAGGAAAGAAGTTTTTATTTCAATAATACTTTTTTTATCTCAAGAAAGAGATGATAAAGAAAACTCTTAGTAATAATCACATTTTATTGTCATGCAAAACAATATAAAATAACAAAACAAGCACGAGGTATCCCGATCGCAGAGCCGTAAGAAGCCATTCCAAGCCTACTGTCAGTCAAAACAGAAATGGCATGCGTCTGGCTGAGTCTGGCGTTGGTGACTGAGACGGCGGCCTGTTTACAGCGAGCTAAACGGCCAAAGCATAGATTGCACTTTCTGCAGGACTTGTTCAAGATTGCGTGCTTTCGTTAGACATGTATAAACGCTAACGGAACGTGGACAGTGCGACTAATTCCGTCCGAGAAGTGTCCGGTCGTGAATCCCGCTTCCAAAGAAATGCCAGTATCATTGCCTAGGTTGCGTGGATCTGGTAAAAAGAAATCTAGATGCATTTGTATTCTCCGTATCCAGTTCAGCGTGGGTGAGTGAACGACAAACACCCTGCTTTTAGAATGCTTTAATTTACAAAGCACGATAATTATTCTTATTTGGTCGTATGTGGAGTGCCCTTCGACGGTGGTTCTACCGTGCGCTCAAGCGCTGTTCAACTCCATTCCAGGGGTCTCGAAACAACGGCCCGCGAGTTCGATCTGACCCGCGGCTGGCCGTGGTCCGGCAATGGCTAGGCGGCTCCACGATAGTACACTGCATTCAGCGCCACAAGCGGAGGCGCCTCAGTTAATGGGGCGGCCTATCTGCCCGCCGGGCCGTCAGGGCCGTTGCGAGTGCCGGCGACCCCGATTTCAGCAATCCTCGTGTGCACCTGCGTGCGTCCCTGGTTTTTTCTTGCGGTTTTTATGACCATCGGGAGCCTTGATAGGTCCAAGTGTTCAGAGAATATGCTAGAGTCGTCATGTGGACACCAGTTTGAGTTGTCTTCACTACTTGTGGCCGCCCGAGCGGTCTTTTCTTCGCTCGTCTCCCAGAAAGTGACACAATACAACGAGAAGGCAGCGAATAGGTTTATTGTACATCCCGGTTGCCCGTCTTCGAGAGCCGGCAGTCCGGACCCGCTGACCCTAGTTGTCGCCCGCCGTTCAGAACTCGCAGTCGGAGCCCGTGTCCCTGCGGATCGTCCTTTCCCACGCCAGTGCTGCGTAGGCTAGCTGTTCTGGGCTATCACAGTCAGAGTCTTGCTGCGGAACCACTACTGGATCGTCATAGCCCAGGCTGGTATGGCCAGGGCTCGCCGCTTCCGCCGGTCCTGATCCGAACTTCGCTGGTGGAATTCTCCCGGGAATCGCCATGGGCCAGACCAGCCAGAACGGCTCTATCGTTCCTGCCTGGGCCCAGCCTCGTGCAGCACGCTCTTCCTCTTTCCTCGCCGGCTGGCCCCCACTCGCACCTCGCTCGGCCGTTCTCTCCTCCTGACGCCCTCACACACTAGAATAAAATTTGGGTAATTAGAACCAAATTTTGCATGCTACAGAACCGTACGCACATTGCAAAGCCTGGTGTAAAATGGCGACAGGCAACAAAGTATGTGTAAGAAGGGATATTTACGCTTCGCACGAGATTTTTCTAACGAAAAACTTTAGCATCCTGCTTTCTGCACGCTGTCACATTTGTTACCAGATTCAGCATTAAATTTGGTTGCTGAAACAAACAACACTTTGTGCTACGAAAATCCACTATTTAAAAACTCGCAGGTTTGGAAGGTTTCGGTTGCGACCACGCATGCCGAACGGCATTAGGAGTGCCGGAACGGGCCGACGGGCCTTTCGCTTGAAGACCGTGAAGCAACAATCGGCCCGATTGTTCCTATCGTATTTCCCTAATGTGGCTGTCAAAGCGAATCGTAATACAACTTGTATAAATATGTTATTTTGCCGAGCGGTCTGCAAAATGAGTTCGTCCGACCACTTTCCAAGCGTGCACATATATTTTTGTTTACTTCCCTCCAACAGTTTCTGTAAAATTCACCTACTTGTTGCGTCGCACTGCAGTAATCCACTTCTGTCGCCGTGTCGCTTCCCAAGATCTCGAAGGGAAGCGGTGAAGTTTGACGCTTGAGTCACCTTCGCGACTGTGGCCGTCTTTGATGCAGCAGTAGCGACGTTTATTTTTTGGGGGAACTCTAGGAGTAGGCAAGATGTCACAGGAACCCGGTGAGGTTATAGAGACGTGAAGTTGGGACTTACTTTTACGAAAAACAGTTCCAAAAGAGTTCACGCCGATCCGAATGCAATGTTCACACGTGGTTTCTGGATGGGCCCGGCCACAGCCCCCGCGACCCGCGTAGTCCTAGCTTACCCAGTTTCTTTATTTTGCAGCCGCTAGATGGCGCAACATGTATTGCCAGACTGCATTGCAGGTTGCCTATAAAGCCCGGCCTACGGCTCGCTTCCAACAGACCCGCTGCTACCGGCGCAAAAAGAAGTGGAAACGGTGCCGCAACGCGCTCGAAATGCACAAACGATGGAAAGAACGAGAGCAACTGCATCGTAATGCTGGTCCTCTCGCCATATTATTCATTGAACTTTGTCATGGACAGCATCATCTTTCTTAGTCCCCTGCCTGTGTAACTGTGTTAACCTTTGCGTCCTCATGTACACTGTACTTAGTAGTGCCTTTTCTGTGCAAACCATTGCATATTGTCAGCATTATACTTGTATCATCCTCATTAGTCTCTTGCACTGCGCGAATGTGCCAAAGTTCCCATATGCTTGGATTTATGTCTACTGAGGTTTCTAAGTCACAATGGACCATTTGAGGAAATCGCCCGTTCAGGAGGTTCTGCGCTCGAGTCCCCTGTTCCTACTTCTCGCGCAAATCAAGATTAACATTAGAACATGCTGTGTAATGAAATGTCTGTATGCGAGAGTCGCAAAGAAAATGCTAGAAATCCCTGTTCAGGCTATGTCTTGTGCCAAAATAACGAAGTCAGGTGCTTGGAATAAGCAACTCGAACAACTTAAGGTTCAAACCCTTCACACTGTTCAACTACGCAGATGTAACCCACTTATGCACGTTGCTACAGCAAGTGCAGAGAGACTATGGGCGTCCCTGGCAGCCTTGATTTGAGAGTGTGTCTAATGACTCTAATTAGAGTGTGTGCAACACGAGAGCTTTGCAACAGGAATGCGTGTGCTGTTTGGGCACGCAACACGGGAGTTCACGTGCACGCTGTGGAAAGTTTAAGGGACGATATTTGCAATCGCAGCTACCTAAGGGGTCACTATTCGATGAAGAAGGCAGCCTTCAAAAGGTCATGTTCTCTCAGCTCAACGAAACTTTGAATACTTTTGGACAATGACTTGATCAGTCAAATATGGGGAGTTTGTTGGTTTGGCACTCCCACTGGGGAGTGCTAAACCAACAAAGGTCGTCTGGCACTTTCCAGCGGAGGACAGAGGAGTAACTTCGACTACCTGGGGGTCTTTTGACATTCGACCTAACCTCGGTTACATGGTGTATTTTCTGCAATAAGCTACGACTTGCTCAGTTGGAGGTTGAAAGGGCCTACTGTTGGGACGGTCCTGCAAGTGCTTTTCTTTTTAGGAACTGTTTTATTAGAAACTATGGCCATAAAGATTTCTCGTATATTGAAAAAAAAAATCTCGTTCCACACAATAAATAAAAACGGCCCAAAAGTAATCCTTTAGACTATGGCCATCACCAGATTTCAATGTCAACTACAAAAATGCTACTTGTTTCAAAGCACAAAGCGGGTACGATTTTATGCTTCTGCATGCTGGTCTCTATGAAGCATATTTATGTTCCCAGGCCCATCTTCAAGTTGAAAAGTCAAAATGCAGGTCGAAATTGTCCCAATTAGGATGAGTCCGCTCTAATAATAAGACTCTGCTCTTTTTTTTCCTTCTCAAATATGAGCCACTTACATTTACCCTTTGCCAAAAGAACAGTCAGAAATGCAGTGGCATCCCATTCTGCTGACACTTACGTGGATTGCCCTTGTAGCCAAGTTGGGGCAAGGATATCTTTATATTTTTACCCCACTTGAGAGGTAGCAATTGGCCGTGTATGAAGGTGTTCAGATAAATCGACTACAAGCGACTTCAAAAGCATGAATGCTCTTGCTGGTACTGATACTTCGAGTGTTTTTGCTTAACACTACTATTGCCTTTTTTTTGCTAAAATGTGTTTTTGATGTTGCTATTTACCTTTGCCAGATTCCGTGGCATGTGCAAGTGATTGTACACCTACTTTACTTCAGCAACTGTTCCTTGTTCATTAACCCTTTTCTAAATGTTGCAGATAAACTGGAAATTTCCCAAAGAAAATGTGAAATGGCGCACTGCTGGCTCGAAGAGAGGATTTTCCCTACCAGCCAAGTCGACTTTTGACAGCCAGCATTCTATCTGTGGTGTCCTTCTTTACACCAGCGTGACAAAATCGAACCAAAATGATTGTCGCCTGGTCTCGAGTCGTTGTGTGAAACTGATTCCTTCTGTCTATCCTGCCTTTGTAGTCAACCAAACCGATGAAATCCTTTACCACCACATCTGCGTAAACAAAGCTGACTTGTTTCAGTTCTCTCGCTACTGTTTCTTTCACTCAGTGTTCAGAACTTAATGCGTAAAAGCTTTACTCAGACTGCGTCCTTGAACTACTTAGACGTAATGCTTGGTTCTTTGAAAAGTGATTTTGTGTCAACTTGCCTAATGTACAGCGACATTTCAAAGAATGTTGGAGGACAGGGTGCGAGATTGTCCGATATCAGTCGATGCAGTACGAGGTTTCACAGCACCTTCGGGGACAAGACTGGGGCTTGTTCATTGGTGCTTGTGGCCATCACGAAGCGAGCTGAACTGAATCGGTCCACAGTATTTTATAGTGCACAGAGAGTTGATGTGAATAGGGGCGTACCCAAACCGTTGGATGTTTGTCTCAAAGAGTGATGGCTTTTATGTTGCGCCTCTTTGCTTTGGCTTTCCTAATTCACTGGTGTCTTGATTTAGGAATAGCTGCCGTGACATTTGTATGTGTGCTCACCTTTGTGCTAGAAGGCGATGTACACTGCGTACCACCCTTAGCACAAATGCAACATTGTAACTTATTTTGCATCTTACCTCGACAGTATTTATTGGCAGCCATAAAATTTTATTTAGTGCTTCAAATGGACACTTTTCATAGCGGTAGTAATTTTGACGGAGGCTTTTTAATTCTAAAAGAAACGGCGACGGCTCATTTGTGCTGCGTTGCAACCTGTACACTCCGCGGCAGCACAAGCGAGCCATCGCCAGTTTTCCGTTTCTCTTTCAGTATTCGAGGACTGTCATCAAAACTAGTATCGTGGTGGAAAGTGCCCTGTCTGGATACTAACCTGAGCTATAAACCTTGATGCGTGCCAGCACCCTTTCAAAGTAAAGTGCGAAGGAGCGTCAAGGTTGTGTTCGTGCCAACAGTGTCGCACAGTGGATGTCGGCCAAGTTTGGGCTCCATGCTACGCGGCGGGACCAGGCGGGACTGGGAGTCGGATGGCGGCAACGTCCCAGACTCCCGGTCCCGCTTGGCCCCGTTGGTAGCATAGGGCCCTCGGTCCGATATTTGCACGTTGCCGTCTGAGCCTAGAGAAGCCATTGGGAGTCGGACAAGTTGGGTTTGGCAAGGAGAGCCAATGTAGACGAGAAGTACACACGCAGTATTTAATACATGTCCCAATTTCTTATGTCGTGTCTCCCTAATAGGGATGTTGGAAATGGCCCGGTGGGACGACCGAGACGGCACTGACCTCGAGGAGTGCAACGACCAGCCTTGGACTCCGATCGGCGAGCTAGACGGGTGGCAGTCCGGGAGGCAGTCCGGGAGGCGACCGCAACGAAAGGACGGATACCGGTGCCGCTCCGGCCCTTATTCCAGTTTTTACGCGTTGGAGGTCGGGACACACGGAAGGACGGCAGAAAAGCCCCTCAGCTGCCCCGTCTGCCAGAAAACATTTGGCCAGAACGTTCGCCTAAAGGTTCACATGAGGATTCACACGGGCGAAAAGCCGTACCGGTGCGACGTGTGCCAGAAAGCGTTTGCAGAAAGAACCGACCTGGTGCGTCATAAGCGGGTTCACACGGGAGAGAAGCCCTACCAGTGCGTCGTGTGTGGCAAGGCGTTTGCGGTCCGATGCAACTTGTTGAGTCACGAGAGAAGTCACGCAGGAGAGCGTTCCTATAAATGCGAGGCCTGCGAGAAGATGTTTACGCAAAAAATCTATCTAAAAAAGCATTGGAAGAGTACACACATGTGAGGGAGATGGGTTGCCCGCGTTAACAATTTGTTTTTCTGGAAGTTTCTCGAAATTTCACTGCCTGTCCAATGTTTTATTTGTATAAGAAAAGCATCGATAGAAGCAATATTTTCACTGCCCATCCCATATTTTTATGCAAAGAAAGGCAGCAGTACCAACAAATTTAGAGATGATTTGTATAATTTGTGAGCATTATCAGTTCTTGCAACTGCCCCTCCAAGTGTAACTGTAGAATCACTTTTCTGGCACTTTTGTTTTCTAGCGGCACTCATAATCTTGCATTATGGCATCCTGAATGATAGAAGAAAAATCTTCCAAGATGGCTATTGGGAGCACTGTATCAATATGAAAGGCCTGCTCAAGTTTTGCAATTCTATGTATTTACTGTACTAAAATAAATTGCCTCGCACATTACTCTAGCGATGCCATTAGTGTCCGGTGCTGTGCTGTTTAAGGCACTCCTCTTATATTTGAAACAAGGCTCGAGGTATAAGGAATGCTTATAGCATGCCATTCCCCCAAATTTTGCTTCCTAAATTTTTGTCCCTTGAAAGCAGTGCCCTTGGAAGGCTCTTGACATTGGGAAAGCTATGAATGATACACCAGCATTAGATTTGAGCCAGTGTTCAAACGCCTTGGTACTTGCCCAAGCATGGGATAGCCGTGCATGTGGGATAGCCATCCATCTAAAAGTTGAATTTTCTTTTCAGAGAATCTCGGGAAGAAAATATTCACAATATTTACACTTTGAAACACGTTTTCAGCTGGGTGCGATTCCAAAACCAACTTCTATTTTCAGGTCATCGTTTCGAAATGTAAGTTCTTTACGGAATCGCTCCTATCACAAAATGTGTATTGCAACATAAATAATGCGCAAAGTTTTTTTTTTTCTTTATATTCTCTGTGTCGGTTCTCTTTTTGTAATGGTGATCCCCCTTCTTATATTAGTAGCAGTTGTCCTTGCAGTTCCATTAACCAGAACCAATTTTGTGTCGGCAAAACCAGTGCGATGCAGTTGTATTGCCACGGTTGCTTTTACTTGGTGCTTGTAAGTACAAAACCCAAGGTGTTCATTCCTCTACTTGGACAGCATTCTTGGTGCTTCTGCCCTCAAGTAGTGTTTTGCATTGATTTCTTCCTGGTGCAGCGACGTTTTTGAGGAACATGGCTAGAATGGGACAGGTGTCAGACTAATACTGTGTCCCTGCAAGGCCACAGATGTCGCTGTAGTGCTACCACATTTCCACACATCTCTGACAATGGACAAGACTGGAGCTCCTGCTTTGTCGCTTGCAACTGGAGCGCGGCGAAATTTTGTATAAATTTAAATGTGCCTGTCTAGTATGCGTTGCCTCGAGCGGGGTCCTTTACATTGAGAGTGCTTCACGCTTTGACCGTCCTTCTTTGCAGACTGGTATCGACCGCTGTTTCGGTTCTGGGATGGACGGACGTCGACTCCTTTACGGGGGCACGAAAGTCACCAAATTAGCCGCTGAACAAGATAACGTGGCGTCTATGATCTTATGCACCAAAATGGCCCAAGTGTCGTTACTCCGCAGTGTAGCGTATTTAGTGGCTCTAAGCACCGCCTCGTGCTAAAAAAGACAATGCATTAGCTCACCTTAAGCTGGCCTAATCCCTGCGTGTTGGCGTCCGAACCTATGGTGGATGACAGACTAAGAGCCCAGTAGGTACCCCACCTCCGGCGTGCGGTCGTTGCCTTTCGCCAGGTCTTGGCTGTGCGTGCGACAAAGCATTATCAAAGGCAGAAAGCCCGCGCTGGAGATGGAGCTCCTACCGGGCTCCTAACCCGTTGCTAATTATAGCGGAACTTTGTTGGAACTAGGGCGAGTAAGGAATCCTCCCAATCTCATCTGTTTTGTTCTAATAGTGAAGGTCGAGCTGGAATGGCAACACTTGGTCGTGCCAAGAGGCCACGCACCACTGCCGCCTCTACACTTGTCACTCCATGCACAACGTCGACGGGCACAAAAAGGAGCCCGCGAGAGGGAAGCCCCTCAGCTGCGGCGTCTGCCTGAAACAGTTTGTCTTTAACCGCCGGTTACAGACTCGCACGGGCCAAAGGCAGTTTGCGTGCTAGGCAGGGTGTCGAACCGGAACCGAACCGGAACCGGACCGGTATTTTTTCCGGAACTGAACCCGAACCGTTATATTGTTATCGCGATGAACCCGAACCGGAACTGAACCGGAAAAAAATAACGGTTACCGGCTCATGTCAAAACGGTTCGGCCATGCGCTGTTGACAATGGATGTGCTATCAATGCCATTTGTTTTTAAGTGCCGTCAACTGACACACACCTCGCTTACATATTTTTCTTCTCCACTCAGTCTTAGGAATATAAAGGCTGCATCCATGAATCTTGACATAGGAAAAAGTATTGTGCTGGTCGCGGCTTGCACGGAAAAAAAAAAATTAAAAAGCTGTGCAAAAAAAAAAAAATTGCGTCACGGGATTTTATTTTTTTACAATCTCGTAAATTCTAAATGCTGCTGTGTGCTCATTTCATAACACGTTTCTAGAACGCGCGAGTTCTTGAAGCTTGCTTCCATCGAAATGAGAAAAGAAAAGGGTGTGGAGTTTGATAATAATGCATCCGGTTTCGTATAGGCACTTAGAAGCTAACATATTTGTGAGACAGCGAACTCTTCTATTTTAATATTTATCGTATTACGTCCTTCTGGTGTTGCGTTCGGTGAAGTGTTTTTCATGTTCCGTATCTTGTTTAATGAAAACTTCTTTAAGGGTCTAATTTGAGTTACTGAAGGCTAGTTCAAATAAAGAAAGCTGTATTTTCTCCCCACTGTTCCTTCAATTGCTTACACGCCGAGGTGGCGGGATAGTTAGCGAGTTCTACTTGTAAGGGGGTTTGTAAGGAGGTCGCGGATTCGTAAACGTCGGTGAGGTAACCTTTGAGTGCACATAAACCATTCCTGGTAGAAATCCCTGAGCCTTACACTACGATGTATCCCGTTTCGTATGTGCTGATTTCAGATGTTTTATTTGTAATTTATTTTGATGTTGCAATTTGTCATTTATAATTTCCGAACCGGTTCGCGAACCGGTTCAGCGCCCCGAACCGGTTCGCGGATTGAATTTATCGAACCGGAACTGAACCGGAACAAAATTAATTAACCTGAACCGTAACCGAACCCGTATTTTTTTTCGGTTCGACACACTGGTGCCAGGTCTGCCGGAGGGCGTTTTCCCACAGTCCCATCTTGGTGCGTTGCGAGAGAATCCACACGGGGGAGAAAGCATTTTGGTGCAGCATGTGCGCGAAGACGTTTGCGTACAGGTCCAGCCTGTTGGGTCATGAGAGAATGCACGACGGGGAGCGGCCGTTCCGGTGCGAGGCCCGCAGAAAAACGTTTACGCAGACGTCTCGTTTGAATGCGAGCCGGAAGAAAGCTGCACGTGAGACCCGTGTCGTCTGTGTCGAAGTATCGTTCAAAGATTATCCGGTGTGCTTTGCTGCCTCCTCAATATTTGTTCGCACAAAATAACGCAGCGATAGGAGGAACCTTATTCGTGACTTAAATCGTTTTTCAAAACTATCCGCTGTTTGTACTGACGCTCCAGGAATAGCTGCACTACCATTGTTCTTGCACCCTTTTCTGGTGGACCGCACACGAAACAATAGGCTTCTTTCTTTGGGGATATGTGAACTACAAACGAATGGGGCTGCTATGCGCTTTTTTATTTCCTCGGCCTCTATCCTAGTTTTGTGGCTCTTGGAACAGTTCCTCATATACTCCACATTGAATTGGTTTCCCGATATCATAACGCATGTTTTGCACTACTTGCATTTGGCTCTTTATTTTATGGTCATTGCGGCGAATTACCAATAAATATCCCGCGCATGCAATAGATGTACCTAGAACCTCGGCCAGACTTTTTTCTGAAATACTTTGCATCCCACAAAGAAACGATGGAGGCTGTATTAGTCGTTGCTGAGAAGACAAGTTGGCCGCTGAACAAGGTTGCAGTTAACTGTCTGCCTGCATCATGTGTCCAAGATGGCAACTAACGGTAACTGCAACATCATCCCTGTAGAAGGGAAGTCTTTTGTAGTGGGCTCCAAACTGAAACCGTCAGCAATCAAATTTCCTTTTTTTCTTTTTTCTGAACGCTATGGAAGGTTACATTTTTCTAAACTCACCGCATTTACTGGTGTACAAGTCGCGTTTTTTTTTTTTTTTCGGTTTTTTTTTTACAAAATTCCTATCTCGGGGTTTTGTACAATAGTGCGACTTGTATGCTTTTTTTTTTTCTTCAAGTATGGATCTTAACTTTGCATATTTGCCGTGGGGTTATATTTAATCCATTCATTGACGACAATGTTGAAACGCTCCCACTTGTGCAGATACTGCGATCACAATGTGCAGATGGAGGCTTATCCGCGCAGTTTCTCCACACCAACCTAGAAGTCATACCCTTTACCACTTTCCACCTTTGTGTTTGGAGGAGCACCAGAGCTGGAGTTATAAATTATTTTGGGTAGTGGTTATCAGACCACTCAAAATTTCAGGAGCTCTGTAGGCGAAAAAATGCCGACCCACTATAAATAAGTTAATCGGCAGTGAAATGTACTTGTTTTATTATCACACATGTGCAAATCGGCCAAGGGTAGGAAAAAAAAGATCACGGGACAGTTCCTGTATACATAAGAGTGGCTGCAACACCTCGGACCTCAGCATTCTTGTCCCTATTTCAGAACCTAGATGCCAATCTTGTAATTTTTGTAATGAATATAATTTAAAATTTTCTCAGTATTTTTTTAAACATTCAGTTGCTCGGTTACCAATAGTAAACCATTCTCGTTGAGGTGTCAAACTGCTTTCATAACTGCACATAGCCCTCTGGCCAAAAATGTCGCCAACTTTAGCGAGGTTGCGATAAAATGTTGAAAAATATGATGCGAAACGTTTAAAGAAGAACCCAGTACTTATGCCACGAACCCCATGATCAGTTTAGCCACCCACCCTCTTCATTCCACAATAGTTCTGGCCCCATACTAGACACAAAGCCAAAAATATTTTATGTGGGCAGAGGTGAAAGTAAAACTGATCATCATCCGATTCACTGTTTGGACTTTGGATATCGCTGCGTTAGAGCTCTTGTTCTCGTTACTTTCTTTCCTAAGAACTTTTCTTAGAATTCTTTTTGCTAAATGTGGCCATTGGTGCCCGCTTCGGTCTGCGCTATATGTCGTGCTCGCTTCACTTGAGTCACTCTCGGTGACTGGTACTCTTCTTAATCTTGCCGTTCGACTTTCTGAAAAATTCTCCCACGCACAAAATATGGCGAATTGCACGTCGCTGCCTCAGACTCCTACCCATAAGCCGAATCAAGTTTCGGCAGTACAAGTTCTCAATGCAAAGTCGCTGTTCATAATGTAAAAGCATTACATCGAAATCGGTGGCACCAAGTGTCGAGACATTGTATGAAACTGATTCCCATCGTTTATCCCTGGCAGTCTTGTCCACCACCATCGCATTCATAAATAGAATTGAAACCAGCGTGATGGGTATTGCTGCAGTTTTTGCCTAGTGTTTGAAACTATGTACAAGATCTAAAGATTCCTCTGCCAGAACCCCATTTTAGTACTCTAAGTAGTGCTGCTTTGCTCGAGGAGTGTATGATCTTGTGTTGACTTTCCCGTGACATCTTGAAAAACATCCCTAAAATGGGCAGATCCATGAGAAGCTACACCAAAGGCCCATAGCAATTGCTGCAGCACAAGATTTCATAGCACCTCTGGGAGGCAAGATAGAGCTTCACCCCTTGTTCACCCATCACGAGTGTGTGCGCTCGGCAAACTCGCCACTAGCAAAACGTTGCCGTCCACACCAGTACACTGCAGACAAACTAAGAGAGCGCAAGAAGCACATTCATGCTTTTGCATTCACAATTCGTACGAAGTGCTTAGGTGTCCTCAGAATATTTTTTTTATTTTTTATATGTTTATAATTTTTTTATTAATTATTAACAATTTTAACAGATATTGCAACAATGTTTTGACAACTAATGTTGTCATTCTAAAATTTCCTCTTGTATGCCTTTTTTTTTGTCTTCAAATGATGCAGCTTATCTAATTTTTTTTTTTTTTTTATTGAATCATTTACTGACCAACATCACTTGGGAATCCCTGCCCAAGTATATATAGGTACTATATCTTAGTACACCCATTTGTGTGAAAATGAACCACTTCTTACTTTGTTAGCCTCATTTTTTTTTCATTCCACTAACATTCAACCAGTCCGCAATGCGCCACGCACTGGTGCACCGCAGAGAAGTTGCGCCCGCGGAGTCAATGTCGCAATTCTGTGTATGTCGCTTCGCCACAGCACAGCCTCTAGCTAACACTGCAGTATACACTGGGCTCGCGACAATTCAAACGCTGATGTTTCGTACTTCGGATTAATTCCAACAAATTTGAAAATTTTGGTTGCCCTGCTATGTTTTTAGCGTATCCATAAGCCGCATAGTTCGAACGGCGTTTCTGTGTAATTCGTATAGGTTCTGGCGGCGTTGAGTGCGCTTCATTCCGAGCACCGGTGTACCGCAGAGAGAGAACACGCTTCCGCAGGTGTCGCTTCTCTGCAGTGCACCGGTGCTCAGTGAGAAGCACGCTCAATGGTGCTCAAGCAGGTCACGCACGAGCTAGGAAAATGTGCACCATGCGAAAATTTCCATAGCAACTGGTGCGGACGCTGTTACGTAGGGACAGCGTGGCATAGGTCCACGCCACATTGTCCACGCAAGTTGGTAGAAAAAGTGCCGTGCGGTGCCCGTTTTCGTCGCTGATGTGTGACCTGCTTAATACAGTAGTTCACATTAGACAACTTGGCCCGATGAACAAACCTAATTTTGTTTTGATTCGTCATCGTGCTGTCAAACAGTCCACGATAAACAACAATTTTGAGGCATGAATAAACTTGTGTGGTACATTTCAGAAATGTTTCATGTGTGGCATACCTGCTTATGATCAGTAGGCCTAAGTAGAGGAAATCGTCAAATATCTGCTTTGGATGCGTAGCCATTTATATGGCAAATCATAATTTTATCTCGCATCATATTTATATGAATTCTTTGGTAATTCTAATTCAAACAAAATGTATGGCTTCCTGGAGTTTGAATTAATGAGAGTCTATTGTACAAAGAAGCATGGTAATGCTATGTTTCCTCGTTTTCCCCACATCTGCCAGTTTCGATCTGGATGAGCATCGTGCCGGCATGTGGTCGTGTATTGCATGGTGTGCTTTGAAGAACCAAGGCTAGCTGGTGTACTGCACTGGGCTAGCTGGTGTACTGCACTGGCTAGATTTCTCATCTAAAGCTGAGAGACTCGTCGCCCATTGAGGCAGACTAACTTCCGGCTGTCTAAGCATACTTTTCTTTATTTATAGCCATAAACCTAATTGTGTGATATTAGCTCTAAAATTAAGTGTACCGAAACAATTGGTATCAACCGAGCACAGCAGCTCGAAATTCTGAAAATGTCTTGCTTGGTGGTACATTAAAGGGACACTGACAGGGTATTTATGCTATCCGATTAAAGCTTAATTGATCGTATCTACCGTCAAATAGTTAAAGGACTACTTAGAGAAAGCAACTAAATGTGATGACAAAAATTTGCCTGTAGCACAGTTAAGCTACTCATCAGTTATTTCAAAGCCCTTTCACTACATTCAGGTAGTCTCCAACTATACAAAAGACCCATTTGCCTAGAATCCTGCACAGCCCCGTGAACCTCTATCAATGGGTCTTTCATATTGATGGAGACTGTACCGTTCCATAAATCTAATTTAAAAAAACGAATTATGAACAACACGATCGCAAATCAAGATATTGTGGTTCATGACGTATATGAGACACGGTTTTATTTAGAAAACTTAACTCTCATCACGATTCACCCTCCGGCTCCGATAAAGCTTTTCCCAAGCCACGCAGATGCGCTGCGGTGAGGAGAGAAACTGAGAAGTGCAATGTCTACTGCACGTGGGTGCTGTTTTTCCGCAGCGCACACGTGTGTGAAGAGAAGTGCACTAAACACTGTTTAACAACACACCCGAGCAGACCATCAAAATGAAAAATATTGCGAGACTTCCAACGACTGTCCGTGTTCGATGTGAATGTCGAACCCAATATCAGTGCTTCTCAAACTGTGGGTTGCAACCCCAAGAGGGGATGCAGAGCGGCTCGGGATCTTGAAAAAAAAAATGCAAACCTGGCTTTTCTGCGGTGGTGTCGCTGAAAACAAAGTACAGATCACAGATCTGCAGCTAGCTGGAACTGAGTGTTGCAGTGTCCTCATTTTGAGAAACTGCTCTAACGAACAAGCTCACTTTAGTCATTATCATATGCTCGATGGCACACTTTTTTCCCTTTTCGCTATGGTTTCTAAATCGGATGATTCACGACAAAACTGTCGGATAAAATCTCGGCGTTAATTTTGTGTATTACCGCTCACGTGAAAGGCTGGAATTTGTTTTTCTACGGGTCGCAGATGTTGGGGAAGCACTGCAATAGCTGCATTTGTTTTCAGCTGCCCAATACGTTTTACTATAATGCTGTAGTTTTTTCTTTCTCCCCCTGCGGTGACACTACTGGCACTGCAGGTATCCGAAATAAATGAATAGTACATTATATGAAGCGACAATAAAAAAAAATAGAAAATTCAGATGCCTACCATATGATACAGCAGTGTAGCAAGGATCAAACTCCTTGTTAGGAGAGAACATTGGGCACAATATTGATATAATATAGTAAGGGTGGAGGCAGGCTGGTGAATGTTAACCATATTGAATAAATCTGAGACTGGGGCAGGAATGAACGCACAAGTCAAAGGAACAGAAAAGGACAGGACATCTCAAGACACGTTGTCCTGTCCTTTCCTGTTCCTTCGACTTGTGTTTATTTCTGTCCCAATCTCAGGTTTATTCAAATGGACAACATTGATGCAAATTTTTAACATTTTTGTGAAATGTAACGGGGTAAGCACTTGGGCAGAATTTGATGCAAATGGAGCAGCAATCACATTGCCGCATATGCTATGCCAGTTGGCGATGTTCAAGCCCAAAGATGCAAAGTTTACTTGGTAGTGCTCCTTGCTTGTAGAATGCTCGTCTAGATGGAGGAATGAGGCAATAAGTTGCATAAAAAGGTTTAATTGGTGACTCACAAAAAAGCGTAAAAAAATTTTTTTTTTTTACAATATCAGGAATTTAATTTAACCTGAACCAGAGTAGAAGAAGGCTTAAATTTAAGAATATTCGAGGAAATTTGGAGGAATTAGTTTAAAAGCTAAACTTGCAAAAATTCTTGATTCAAGGTGCTTTAATCCTACTTTCCTCATCCGTTCATAGTGAGGACTTAAGATGAACTTGATGCCAGAATAAAATCTCGCACTAGTGGTACTACAGCTTTTCTGGGAGGGTGATGGCACCAACTCATGTTTACAGCAGATAAAGATACCTCCATTTCTAAACTTCACATAAACAAAACTAGACAGGCAGGGAAGCACATTGTGAAACTCTAGCCTCACGCACAAATCCCCTCCAAATATTGCCTATGCAGATCTCTCACTTGTGCATATTCATCCGATGCCAATTTAAATAGCTCCTTTCCCTGAAAGTTTTTCCGCAGGCTTCGCACGTGAAAGGCCGTTCTCCCCGGTGCGTTCTCTCGTGACTCAATAGGCGACCTTTTTGTGCAAATGCTTTCCCGCATGTGCCGCACGGATACGGTTTCTCCCCCGTGTGGACTCTTTTGTGACTCACCAAGTGAGCGCTCTGTGAGAACGCCTTCTGGCAGACCTCGCAACGGAACGGCCTTTCCCCCGTGTGAGTCCTCATGTGAGTGTGCAAGTGAAACCTGTGAGCAAACGCCCTCTGGCAGACGGAGCAGCTGAAACGCTTCTCTCCCGTGTGCAGCCTTTGGTGCCTGCTGATATCCGACGCATACCAACTGGAGTAAGGGCACAACTGGCACTGGTGCGCATCCTGCTGTCCCGAATGCACCCTGGGTTGCGGCGCGTCCAGTCTGCCTTTTACGAAAGAGGAGTCGCTCCCGCCGTCCCAGCACTCTGTCTCTGCCAGCACTGTTGGAGAGACCCGGGAAGCATTAGTACAGTTCTTAGCCTGCGGACCTCCTCCACGTGTAGGGTGTCTGAAATGCCGAGGCTCGACCTAAAATGGGCCGTAAAAAGCAGCGCATGCACGTAGCAATCTAAACTTTTCGTCAAAGGTGTATTTCACGGATGGGTTTTTGCTTCATAAAACTACGAGGCGTAGCTTTCTTTCTGTAAAAAAACAGGGCCAAAAAACTTGTGAGTGTTAACAGCGGACGGCGAGGCAGACGAGTGGCAGGGCGAGTTTGGCGCATGTGTTTATAGATGGCGCTACCTCCGTGTTCTGGCTTGCTTTTAAAAATATTAAAACTGCCTCCAATGAACATGTTCCGTTAAAGTGAACATGATCTTTTTCTTAATGTACCTCTGTAGACAATGATATCAAAACGAAGTAACAAAAATGAAGTAACAAAAATAAAATGCGACTGCATAAGGACGGCTCTTGCTGCATGCAGATTTCGTCTGTGTGTCGTCTGCTTTCTTTCGCTGGTCGGCTACACCTTCCAACACTGCTCCCAATGCCATCTATCAACATGTGCGCCAAACGCACTCTGCCACTAGACTCCGTTGTCTGCGTCGCCGTCCGCCATCGACCCCGGCAAGTATTTTGGCCCCATTTTTTACAAAGAGGCAGCTATGCCATGTAACTTTAGGAGGTAATTAAGCCCATCTGTGAAATACACCTTTGACAAAAGGTTTAGACTGCTATACGAAGGAGCCGAATTTTATGGCACATTTTAGGTCGAGCCTCGGCATTTTAGACACCCTATAAATGTAGGACAGTGAGAAATAAGAAAAACTGGAGATGCTTTTTAATATTTTTTTTTTTTTTTTTCATTCCCCAAAGATCATCCTGACAATATCCCACACTGTCTGGTGATAATTACGAAAATGCAGAGGGCAAGCAAACAGGCTTAAAAGGGCGAGGGGAGGAATCACACTTTTGGCTTCTAGGCTAAGTGGCGCAAGCTACTGCCTGCCGTAGCATCCATCCACGTCAAACTTTGCAAAAAGAAGTTTGAAGGCTCGCCAAAGCTGGAGGTTCAATAAAAGTTTGTGACATCCCTACTCAAGTGATATCACACACCGAGTTAGTACTAAATGGACAGTCGTGGCACCTTCGCGCGAGGCTTCTTTGTGCACATAGCCAATGACGAGGTGAAAACGGTAGGGAGGCGCTTTATTTACCCGCCTTGGGCGCAAGCTTCTTGCCTTCAACGACACTTTGGCATCTCATGCAGGTCGAGTGCACACACACAGCCAGAGTATCGCAAGTGGCACGGAGCGTGTGCTGGGGCATTTGAAAGAGATATCCTTCCGTCGACTCTGTCAGTGACAACAATTTATCTGCCTTGGATTCAGCTTGGCTCGCTTCCCAATGCATACCTGCCAAGTTCGGAAAAACCAATTCCGGGAGAATTGCTAAGCAGGGACGGGGGGGAGCGGTGTTTTAAAAAAGAAATATTGACAACAAATTTACGTGAAGGCAACTTCATTCCATTTATATCTCACTGCTCATGCTAGCGAGATGCAGCCGGGCCTCGCTATCATTGCAGCCGTCTGTTGTGACAACAAAATATCCTCGTTTAAGTGTGGGAAAAGGGGGGGGTCGATTTGCATTTTCTGGGAGATCTTTCTGTCAATAGTAAAACCGTACAAACTGGTGAAAATTTGGGAATCTCCCGAGTAATACGGGAGACTTGGCAGGTGTGCCAATGGCCACAAGCAACGACGAGCGAGAGGAATTGCTGCGCCTCGAAAGTTGACAAAAAAACGCGGGGCTGCAGCGACTGCTGGGGCATCGCATAGGCCATGACATCTATCCATGGTAGAAATGTCCGTCAGAATGTCACTGTGCTAGAAACGCCAACGCAAAATCGTACACTGCCCGGGAATACAAGCGCCGCTTCCAGTGCATCAATGTGGTTCAAACACAATAATTGCTGGCATCTCGTAGTCTAAAACAATAAACGAGCAAGCGCAGCAAAACAAGCACTTCACACTGGTTTCGCACGAGCAAATGCAGTGGTGTTGAAAGGGATCACATGCGTCATCGTCTATGCCGACCTAAATAGAGAGAAGCAGTTTCACGCAAATGCCACAGACTGGGTGACGGGGATGTCGATTCGACGACAGACTGGCATAAAGGACACTGCGCAGAGAATGCACGCTGGCACGAGTTGAGTTGGCTGGTGGGAAGGGCCCCTCTAGAGGCCGCTCGTCAGAATCTGGGACGACTGCCAGAGCAGGCCTGCAAAGTTAAGGAGGGAATAAACGTTTGAAAGGCATTAAAAAGCGATAAATTAATGCGCGCACCCTCGAATGCCACTCCACATTGTGCAGATTAAAATGGGGCACCAAAAACCAATCGTTACAAAAGAAATAGTGAAAGGAGTGCTCAGAAAGAAAAATCTGCAAGGAAAAAGAAGGAGACTACTTATACAGCCAGGCCCCAATCAAGCTGATACTCTGTCCTGGATAATCGTGTCCGCTTTTGACTCGAGCCTGTTGGCTCTTGATTTGAGGGAGTCACAATTTTTAAATGGGGTTCAGACGGGGTAAAGCTTTGGAAATCTTTACTTTCTCAGACTTTTTATATCATCGGCAGTCACTTTCGGCACATGTGACAACAGTCGTCCTGAAATCGGGCAAGTACTTTTAAACTTTCACTGTATTTCAAGGACTATAGTCTGCAGAGGCAAATTTTGGTTAAATCTATGAAGCTTTTCCATAGATAGCTTACACCCGGTTCATAGCCTGCACACGGTGTCTTGTATGCAAGAAAAAAAAATTATCATACGCAGTACACCCCGACAAATGTCCGCCTCATTAGCTCCCGAAGAACCTCGAATTATGCGTAACTCATCATTAGCTTCCGCTGCCATCCAAAAATCCGTCCCGTCATGATGAACGACCTAGAATAAGCAAAGCCTCTAGATAGTCTGCATTGCGTAGAATTTCAGCTTGTAAGCATAAGCGTGTATAGTGTGCGCACTATAGCCCGGAAAATATGGTACTTGCACACCGAAGTATGGCATACATTCAACATATGGTGTCGACAAGGTATGTGCTGGTTCCAAGCAAGACAAAGCGTGGGGCAGGCTCACTGGTACGCGGCGGCCACTCAATGTCGAGGCCAAAAATGGCTCGCACAAACCCCGAAAATGCGCATACTGGAGGCTCAAAAGAGCAGCTCTGGCAACTGTTGGCACCAGTCAGAGTCAAGCCTTGAGGATATCGCAGATTTGCGATCGAAACCGAAATAAAGGTGGTTTAGACCTCTGCAAACTCGCTGCAAATACATTCATTTTTTTTTTTTATGCACATCCATAATTATTTTATTTTTATCTGCTTGGGCTCCCCCTCAATAATTAACCCAATATAGGGGGGAAAAGGTGAGGCATTTACACGGTACGATTAGAGCATGTTCCCACTGTAATATGTTTGCCGCATGAACAACTCCACTGGCGGTACTTTTTGTTGAAAACATGATGGTTTGCAACAAAAGCACCAGACTTCCTCCCTCATCACAAAATAAAGCAAACAACATAAAACACATGCAAACATCTTTTTCCATCAAAAAAAAATAATTACTCTTCAGTCAGATGCATAAGACATGGAGAAGCTTTAAAACAATCTTAAGCACAAACTGTTTGCATAGCTGCCGCGTAATGGGCGCTTCTCACCGGAAGCGACATTTTTGAAGCAAAGATAAAACGGTTCACCAAGTAAACACTTTTCTGCGAGTCTCGCACGGATACAACCACTCTCCCTTACTAAAGGGGCAGTGCAATGATTCTCAGACCCTGGCCAATTCATAGTGAGAATTAGCCTATGTAACCTAAGGAACAAAGAATGGACTATTTAAAGTTTAGAGTACCCTTATCCTTTGAGGGACGTGCGCAGTGACATCACCAGGAGTGCCACCTGGTTTCCCATCAGGTTCTGTCTTCAAGGCCCTTGGCACTCCCATCGCAATTGTAGACTTTTCAATGTATGTATCTACTACAACAGAGCCCTGCACCCACTGAAAATCATTGAAGGTCGCAGAGAGAGAATGGTTCCGTTGACTTCCATTAAATGGCACCATGAAAACTTTCGTGCTCCCAATAACGTACCACGGTTCCCACGACTGCCACATGAAACTGCAGATCGCAAGATGATGCGATTTTTTCCTTCACATTTACACAGCGAAATAGCAGCATTTTGGCAGAAGGAGGCACCTTTTCTCTCGCTTGGGCCAAGAAAGCAATATAGAAGACGCAAGCTGCCGATTCTTTCGCCGTTAAAATCGTTGCACTGCCCCTTAAATCTATGGCAATGCGTCAAGTTGGTTGATGCAAATTCTTTCCCACAAGCGCGTCCCTTGGATCTTCTTTCCCTCCTGCTGCTGGAAAGCCTTGCACTGCTGCCCGCCAAACCCGTCTCCCGAGGAAGGTGTTTGCTCTCGGCGTCCCAGAAACCGTAGACGTCCTCTTAGTCACCGGCGGCTCCCATGGTCGGTCCTGCTGGGGATACGTGCCAAATCAAAGTGAAACTGCCCCCATTTTCTCCGCGATACACACGCTAGAGTGGTGGAAGTGGCCTTAAAAATAAAGTATGTCAAGTTTAGAGCGCTGAAATCAAGGCTAGTGCGCCCAGATTTCAGAGTGATTTCAACTGGTTAGTTGTGTTTGCAACAAGATCTGCAAGGAGAATAGCAGGCACCTCTTTGCTAGCTATCTTCCTCGCCACGCGGCAACGTAAAGCACGCACACTTGCAACCAGTCTGCCCAGGAGGCGTCCAACTGCAAACTGCAGACGCTCTCTATGGCTTCAGTTGCTCCCTCTGTTAAACCGAAGCTCTCTACAGGTGGCCCTAGAGTTTCTGTACAGCTACGGGAGCCAGAGTTGCGCATTCATCCCTGTAGAGCCGGCTCTCCTGCACAACCCGGGATTTTTTGCTCGTAGCATGACTGAATTCGGCAAATAGCGGCGCCGCTATTTGCTTTTGTTTCTTTTTTCCTGGAAAACAAGAAAGGATGAAAAGGAGGCAAAAGCGGGGGAACGTACGCCAGGGTGCGTGCAACGTCGGCAAAGCGACCGTATCAGTGCTTTCCTGCAGGGCACTAGGATTCTTTGCTCCTCACACGATCGATCTCGGCGAATAACGGCGTGGCGGCACGTGGAAAACGGACGCGTAACTCTGGCTCCCATAGGGAGCCTATACGGGAAGTCTAGGTGGCCCTAGACGCCACAACAGGTGCTTCCCTCAACCTCGGCAATAGCAAACAATGTTTTCAGTTAGGCTTAGCAAAAGATTTTTCCGTGTTGCGCAAAATTTTTTCCTTTGTACAAATAAAACATGCTGAATGGACGCAAAATCATTGAGGTTCTTTTGTCAGGCTACTTCGACCCTGTCAACGATAGCCGCCATCTCCCGGCAGTTGCGTCGTACAAACAAGAGCAAATTCACGCTTTTAATTTGTTACTCTTTGCTCGGGTAATATTGCACTTTGCAATTTTGATCCACTTAATACCACTTTCAACCACATCAGTAGAAGATTTTAGATCAATACGTTAAGAAACCAATTCATGCGGTTTCTCGAAACAGCCAACGATCCCTCCGACTCTTGTGGTGATAATGTCGGCAGGGACGTGATTGGTTTGAATAATTTTGAGAGCAACTTTCGGAGCAGCTAAAATCCCGGCTCGAAGCACCAAAATGAACTTTTGGAGCATAAGCACACTCCTCATTCATTCCACTGCGAAAACCACGTTACGATTCGTGCATTGGCCTGTCCAAATGAAAGACTGTGCTTTTCTGCATTCCAACCACTGTAGAACCAATGTTTAGCATATACGACATAGCATGTTTGAATTGAGAAGGTGATTTGATTACCTGCACTGATGGCATCTTACACGTAGAAGCTGATGATGATGCAAACTTAGCATGTGAAAATTATACCTTACAAATTTAGTTATTTCCTGCCTCTGTCCACAAACGGTTGAGGGCCCCTTTGGAGATGTTAACAAAACATAATAATTAAACTGATAGTGCAGCCCAGATGCTCCTCATTGACGTGATTCATCGACCCTTCCTCAAAACCTAAGTTCAAAATATCCTTCCTTGAACCTCAGATGTGAAGAAAAAAAAAAATACTCGGTTAACGTTGCGTGCAATCTGTCAAGATGACTAAAGGTCTATTCGCACGACGCATCTTGTTGGCGAATCTTGTGCCTCAAAACTAGGTTTCGAGAAATTGATGCCCCGTGTGAACGCAAGTGAAAACGTCCTCTGGAAAAGGTTGCGTGCGCTCCTTGCCTCTGGAGTGAGGTTCTGCCGACACCTCGCCGAGTCCCGTCAATCGCACGAAGGAGAAACATGGATGCTGCCAATGGCTGCTCGACGTCGCTACGTCATCTCCGACCTTCGAGGTGGAGCGATCTTTCGGAGGAGCGCTGCTAACCCGCATCGCCCGTACGGTGCGTACGGGCAATGCGGGTTAGCAGCACAGGTTGGTGCACTTGGTGGCACAGTGCAGATTTCCCAACCGTCGCAACAAGTGCAAGCACCGTATATAAACCTGACGACTGGGTACAACAGATCTTTTGGCGGTGGAAAAATGTCCAAAATACTCGGAGATCATCAGCCTGTTCTTTGACGTTTGTAATCCTTCCCCGGTTTGGCAGGCCTAGAAAACCGAGTGAGCCAAATCCAACAAAGTTTACCGGGCGGCCTTATTAAAGCACACTGTCTCCCCACATTGTGCGTACTTCATATCATTTTGGAGTGAAACACTCGATAATCCTGGTGCAGATTACAAGGTTTGGCAATGTTTTCCTGAGCCAATACGTCGAAGGTTTCGTGCGTCAAACTCCATGTGTAAACGGGCCAATTTCTGGACTTCTCGGGTTCGTAAAACCGTTGCGCGTTAAAACATGCACCGTGCGAATAAACCTCGAGTTAATCATATGGACCGACAGAAGCTTTCCTTGCAGATTTTAATGATGAATTATCGGAGGGTCCTTTGTTTTCGGGTGAAACCCGATTTTTCCAAATATTTACACCCCGACCATGGTTTCTGTAAATTGGGTTGAACGCGATTTCTTCCAGAATTCAGAAAACGGACTACACCATTTCCACGCACGTTGTCGTAGTAAACTGGAGCTCACAAATAACCTCGTTAAAAGCGAATAAGAGAGCAGCAAGGCTGAAGCTACTTAAAAAATACTTCTCAGAAAAAAAAAAGAAAGAGAAAGTTAGTTTTGCGAAGTATGTCAAAGGGAATTAGCAAAAAATCAAAACGACCAAGTGAGCTCTTTACCACGTTTTAATTCTGTTTTCTGTACATCGTTGGCTTGTTTATGTAAATAAAATATTCCTGGTCCTAAGGCTAATCAATGTTGTTTTTTTAATTGTGAATTATATTTAATAATTTATAATAGAACCCGAAAAACCCGGGGTCGCTGAACGTAGCGTCTGACTTTAACCCGCCGATTTCTGAAAGATATAAAATCCGAAAATGAAGGGATCTACGTATATGTTGTCATATCAGCATTCATGAAGTTATATTTTTGTTTCTCCCTCAGAGTCGAACAGAGCACGGCCTCCGCAGGCGTAGCTTCACTGGGGTGCAGCTATGCGCGGCGAGAAGCGCACTCAACGGAGCCAGTGAAGCCGCCCAAACAGACCACGAACAATGAGAAATATCATGAAAACTTCCCAAGTACAGAGTCATGTTCCATACGACCATCATATCACGCGTTTTTCGAAGGAATAATTAAAAGTTGTAAAAATTCGCGCGAGCTCACCATAACAGTTCGGCACAGTGTACCGACGCGCTCAGCTATTCACTCCCCGGTGAAGTGAAATGTGCTTTTGGTGCAACGTTGGCGACAATTCTTTACATTTCGGTGCAGTGTGTCAGGGCAAGCACTTTGGCGCAGCAAACACATCACCGCGCTGGAAAATCGGCCCCAGTCGTTGCCGGTAGGCCTAAACCCGCGTACCTTCTCTTTGTCGTACGGCTGTCCGGACTAGGAGTCTCCCGTTGTCGAAGACTGTCGAGATCGAGAAGTCGGCGTTGTCTTGCTCCAGATCCATATCTCTCGTTTTGTTTTGAATATGGGAAGTCCGTGAATTTCAGATGCGGCACCGAACAGCGGCTGCAACTTGGTTTTGGCTTGGATTGGATTTTGACGGCTACTCTCGCGCAATCATGCTCTCTCGCACGAAAAGATATAATCATCGAGCGCAATCGTGAAAATTAAAGTAACGTTCCTTTAAACCAAAAATTCAGTGCCCTCTATATATGTTTTATTTTTTGTTTTAATATCCGAAGTAAATTTGCCATTATTACCCATTCGCACCACCGGTTTCGATTTGTTCGGCTGCTCCTCGTTGCCGCCGGAGAGCTGTCGCCCGGCCGCTTGTTGCTCCTTTGACCCGAGTCTTTGTCCGTTCTGTCCAATGAAAACTGGAGGATCCTCAATCTAGGACTAAAGTCACTGGATCCTGCTTTATCTAGGACAAAAGGACCCATGAAAAAGGGAGTCGCACTGCGCTATTGTCGAAAGTGTTGAAGGACGAACATGTCTCGCGAAAATAAAGCCTTCATATCGCTAACTACTCGTATTTTTGTTTAGGCATGCTCGAGCTTCAACATATATCGTCACCGGCTTTCTCTGGCGTTGTTTTAACACAGATATAACAAGCATGCCAGAAAAACGGGATGGGCGATCTGTCGGGGAAGGCTGACCATACGCGATTCTACGGTGTACGTAGCTCCCAAGTTGTCAATGGCGAACTATAATGAGCGATAAGCTAAAACCAATGCACGAGTGCACTGAATGTGTCACGAAAATTAAGTGTTGCGGGGGACTGTCCGCGCTCGATGCGAATACCCAACCCAATAATAACGCGCTTATCGTGATCCATTAATAAGACAAAACCCAAAAAAAGTTAATAGCGCAAGCAGCATTTTTTTTTCCTTCAGCAAGAGCTTGAATCAGTGTGGCAAAACAATTGGCTAAGGAAATTTAATAAAATTTTGAAGAATTCCTGTTGTTTATTTTAGGTACCCCAAAGCACCCACCAGAGCGTTACAGCGAAAAAAAAAAGTAAATGATATTAATGTGAAAAACAGTAGACAACAGCTTATGTGCTAAATCAAAAATAAATAGAATATAATATGAAAAGCTAAAGACAGGCCAAGGATTGAAAAAAATTAAGTTCTCTGTATGCAGAGACTATACATCTGATAACTTATTCTAACATCTACTGATGCGTGGAAAAAAAAAAAACAAGTTTTTGAAGATTATGATGATAATGCACAGGCTCAAGAGCTGGACAAGAATGGCAATAAGAATCCCTGAAGAGGAGGGGGGCAAGGGGGGACAAACACAAATCTCCAAACAGCTAGGTGACTGGTGTGCGACCGAAAAGCCCGCCTGGTCCTGGTATCAAACCAGGGGCTTCCAGTGGAGCACACTACCAACTGTGCTAACCAGGAGCTAGACGCAGAGCAAACGGGTTTTGTCAGCTGCCACCAGTCTAACACCAACCAGGGTGAACGGACTGCATTTTATGATTATAATGCAATTAATTGCAGAAGTGCAAACGAGCTGGAAAAGAATAACAAAAAAACAAATCTCCAAACTGTGTTTGGAGATTTGTGTTCGTACTTTGTCCCCCTTGTTCCTCTTCTCTGGGGAATATTTTCATCAACACAGATTGGTTGACGGGTGGAAGAGGAGCGAGGTGCTCATCACTGATCGGTTAATGGAGGGGTCATGTGACCTGGGGTGGAGTGAGGAGAGGTGTAGAATTATAAGGTTCTGGAAGTTCAGCAGGCTTATCATTTTAAGTGTTCAGATGCCACACACATTAAATTATCCAATGAGGAGCGCCGTGAAGTAGGCGTCTGATTGAACAGGCTTGACGTGTTGCTAAACGATATTGATAAATACATCGTATATACAACACAATTGCCTTTTTTTTTTTGCTTTTATATTTTAGTTTATTTTCCCTCACTTTTTGCCGGTGAATTTGATTTGGACAGCTAGGCAGTTCGAGCTACTTTGTCTTGTAATCTTCCACACTTCAGAACCAGAGTCAAAGCTACTCTAATCAACCTCCTTGGCTATAATAAAGCGAGTTGCATCCCGTTTATTTCTGAAAGTGCGGAAGGTAATGTTTTCAGTAGAAAAAGCAACGATCCCTTTTCTCACTCACTCACACTCACTCACTCACTCTCTCTCTCTCTCTCTCCCTCCCTCTCACTCACTCACACACTCTCTCTACCTCTCTCACTCACGCACGCACACATGCACACACACACTCACTGCACTCACTCACTCATGCACGCACACACTCTCACTCGGCTCACTCACTCACGCACGCACGCACACGCATGCGCGCGCGCGCACGAGCACACGCACACACACACACACACACACACACACCTGGCTGACCCTAATATGAAGATTTGTGGATGGTTATTATATGGGCCTTCAAAGGTAATTTAAATATTACCAAAGTAAAATTATGTTATAATAAACAGCGACTGCAAAAATTGCAGTCATGAAAACGACCAGCTTTTGTATTATATACATTTGGGTCCTGAAGTAAAAATCACCCACTGCTACAGCTTTCGTTTGAATTCAAGGTACTTAATTGGTTCTGCCCTCAAATGGTTGGAGAGCTATAGGGAATTTGCAGCAAATAAAAAGGCAATTTGACATAAAAACTGAACCTGTAGTACAGTGCTATACGTTGTCTACCTTATTTCGAGAAAAATAACATCTTTCTCTATCGAGGAAAAATTATGAACAACAATGCTCACAATTTCTTTAAGGTTGCCAATCTCTCCACAGCTTTCAATTATTTTCTCTCTCCCTCTGCATCAATTTACCAAGGTATAGTTTATGATGTACACAAGACGCAGTTTTGTTCCGAATGGTTGTCGCATCAAGATTCACCGTCCTGCTCTAAAAGTTTTACCCTAAGGTATAGAGGTGCACCATGGTGAAGAGACACACAGTGAAATATATGTGGGTGCTACTTGTCCATATAGTGCACGAGTGTGTGGTGAAAAGAGTACTTAACGTAGCTAAACACAACTGAACAGACCATGAAAATGAAAAATAATGTTCAACTCTTGAAGGCTGTCGGTGTTTCACGCAGTTGTTGAACCTAATAGTGTGTTACTTGAAGCGATAATGAACAGGTTGGAAAATACAGATGCTCACCGTATAATGTGAGGCCCAAGATCAAAGGACAAATAAATCGTTTGGAACAATGTTAATTCTCATCATCTCAGGGAAATGTAGCAGGGTAAGCTCTTTGGTAGAATTTGACACAAATGGTGCAGCCATCACATTTCCTCCTGTGTTGCCAATTGACATTCAAGGTCAAAGTTACAAAGTTTACTCGCTAGATCTAGTTTCTCATTCAATGGGTATATCTAGACGAAGGAGGAAATAAAAGCAAAACTTGCCGGGAAAGTGTTTTATTTGCGATCCATTAAAGAAATCCCAAACGGGTATACAATGCTTTTACAATATCAAGAATGCAAATCATTCTGAAATAAAGATTGGCAAAACAAGGTTCAGATATACAGGGTGTGTTTTCTTAGCAGCACGAAAATTTTAAATGAAGCGTTTTCTGAGATATCCGCCCCCAAATTTTCTACTTAATCAAAATTTTTATCCATTCAATCCAGCAAACTGCGAAAGTGACCACTATAGCTGAACTCTAAAAGTGCAAAGTTCAGAAACGAATATCGAGGAACACAGGCTGGCTACACGAATTCTACTAAATGGAACAGATGGAACAGTTTTGGCACACGACCACCTCAAAGCTCGTAATATAAACATACATCCTAATTACAGTAATTAAAAAAATAATTAACAAACTTTAGTCAATTATAGTCCGATAATAGTGATGGTTATATTCCTATCTAATTCCTGCCAAGTTATATAAACACGCAGCTAAAACCACATTCATGTAACTTTTCCCCCGTATTCGAGCAAATTTGGAGGAATATTTAAAAGCTAAAATGACAAAAATTCACAATTCTAGGTGCTCACTCAAAACCCTGTTCTCCTCGCTTGTGCATAGCAACGGGTTAAAAGTAAGTTGACACTTCCCAATGTGAAAATGGTCCCAAAGTTAGAAGCTGCAATAGATGAGGGCCGTTCACGAGCGAGGAGAAAGCCGCAGTGGCGGTACTGCAGCTCTTCCTGGAGGGCCAGTCATCGCGACGTCTGATCAATGTTTACAGCAGACAAAGATGCCTCTGTTCCAAACTCCCTCGTGCGAACAAATACTTTAATATCGCCTCGCAGCCAACCAAACCGCAGCATCGGCAAATAAGAATGTCCAAGAACCAATTGCGAAGCACGAATATACCGAGCCACGCCCAGCATCTCTTTCAGGTGCCAATCACCGCAGTCTTCGACACAAATCGCCTCCACATACCGCGTAACGCAGATCCCTCACTTGTGCGCGTCCTTCCGATGCTCCTCTAAATGGCTCCTCTGCGTAAACGTCCTTCCGCAGGCCTCGCACGCGTGACTCTCATCTCCTCTGTGAGTGCTCTCGTGATTCAGCAGGTGGAACCTTCGTGCAAATACCTTCTCGCAGGTCCTGCATTGGTACGGTTTCTCCCCCGTGTGAACTCGTTTGTGAACCACCAAGTGTGTGCTCTGGGAAAAGGCCTTGTGGCAAACCTCACATCGGAACGGCCTCTCGCCCGTGTGAGTTCTCATGTGAGTGCGCAGGTTGGTGATCTGCGAGAAGCCTCTCTGGCAGACGGAGCAGCGGTAAGGCCTTTCTCCCGTGTGCATCCTTCTGTGCCTGACGATGTTCGACGCAAAGGGACTGGTGTAAGGGCACAACTGACACTGGTACGCGTCTTGGTATCGGGGCTGCGTCGGGGGTTCCAACTTGTCCAGCAAAGAGAAGTAGTCGCTCTCGCCGTCCCAGCAATCTGCCTCGGCCGGCACTGTGAGGGGATACGGTAAACGGGATGAGGACAGTTCTTAGGCAGATAATCTACACTGCCCTCGGCGCTAAGTTGCACGAATGTACTAGCGTCTCGACAACCAGCAAATGAAAAAAGAGTAAAAAAAACAGTTGCAACTTTGAAGTGGTGTCCCACTTTGAGTTACAGTGCAAAATAAATAAGCGTAGACCCTTTGTGTGGAGCTGCTGTGCATACTAATTTCTCTTTTATGGATCGAGCTCAATTAGCAGCCTATGGGCGCAAACAACAATGAGCAAGAGAAATTGCTGTGCCTCGAAGTCGCTACGACATGGGGGGCCTGGAGCATTACGTAGTCTGCAATGTCTGTCCATTGTAGTCACACTCTTCAGAATATAGCCGTAGGAGAAAAGCCAACACTAAAATACACCGCTCGAGAAAACGAGCAATGCTTCCAGTAAAGCAATGTGCTTCAAACACAATGCTATCTTACATCTTGTAGTCTGAAAAAACAGGCAAGAGGAAGCGCAACAAGACTATACCACACCGCGCTGGTTTTGTTCAGGCAAGCGCAACAGTGGTGAAACACATCATGTGGGTCGACTTTTTATGCCGACTTAAATAGAAAGATTCAGCTTGATGTCGACTAGATGATGCTGGATTGGTTCAAACAGTGGCACTGCGAAGAGCACATAATATGCTGCCAAAAGTTGGCCAATGGGAAGGACTCTCCCTCCGAGGCAACAATATGCCACATCTTGAGACAGTCGCCAGAGTGGGCCTGCAAGGATGAGTGGGCAATTGAAGGTCAAAAGGCAGGAAAAAGCCATGAGATTGATTTTTATTGCCACAACACGTGGCACATTGAAATGGGCAACAAAGGGCACTATTTGAAAATTTAATCGCAACAGGAATGCTAAAACACAAAATCTAAAAGTTAAAAGAACCAGGCTAATACAAAGGGTCCTTCAATTCTGGATTTTAAATTTTTCAAAAATCAGGGGAGGAGGGAGGGGGTATAATTCGGGCAGTTTGTTTCAAGCCAGTAATCAAAAAGAAGCCTTTTCTTTTTTTCAAAAAATATTCCTAGAATTTGGGTTTGTCAAGTCATAATTGTCATCCTTTTAACGTGAAACGTTCTTCAGCTAGGCCTTTACATTTTATCAAGTCCAGCTAAAAGAGTGGCCCCGAGGCTAAGCACTGATTGGTTGATGGGTGGGAGAGGAGTGATGCGCTTGACACTGATGCAACCAGAGGGGTAGGCGAGGAGGAGCTTGACCACCTGTGCGCACTCAGAGAGAGGAGCTCGCAAGTACAAAAGGCTCTAGAAGATCGCCAAGCTCATCAGCCCCATTAGTGGCAGTATCGCTTCACCCTACGAACAACTATCGAGTGTACACATGTACACATGGTACGCACTACACTATCTCACGAAAAGCGCCGTGAACGTGGAAGCGTCTGGTAACTCAGTGTATCGCTAAACGTTTCTGATGCAAGGAAGTTTCACGTATGCAACACGTGAAAGCCTAGCAATTTGAGATCATTTTCTCATTTTCTTGTTTTGCTCTGGGTTAACAGGAAAAGAAGAAGGGCAAAGGATTCTTCCCAATGGGCATAAAAGGGACATTTGAGGGTTCCATCTATGTCACTGGAGCTCACTGAAGCCAGCAGAATCTAGCTTTGTTTTCAAGGTCTGCAATTCACACATCTGTTCCTACCAACTCTTTTTTTTTCTTTTTTTTTTTTTCTGGAAAATAGTTTTGAAGCATCATACTTTGGAAAATGGTGCGATGCACTTTCGGAATTCGGAAAAATCGGGTATCCCCTCATTTTCGAGAAACATGTGTTTGGGTGTAAATATCGGGATATGTGGGGTTTTATCCGAAAAAACAGACCTATACTAATAGTCACATCCTACTCTAGGACACTTTATACACTCAAACTCCGTTATTCTTGGATAGAACATCCCCTTAGCCACCCTTCCCGCCCTACTAAAGGCACCACAAAGAAAAACAAAAAGAAAACCCTATGCTGAACAGTTATTAGTATAAAATAAGAAATGACACTGTACCTTACATTTAATAGCAACCTGGACCGGATGAGTGTAAATAAAATTGGCAACACATAATACTCTCCACACAGAAAAACTTGTCCGCATATTTGGCTCCTCTTCGCTCAAGTGTGGCAGGGCTGTGTCGAAATATGCTTCCACAAAGTACCTATATGTTGAGTGGCACAAAACAGATTGTGTCAACATTTGCCGGGTTAATTGATCGATAAAAATGACCATAAGTGTTCATCGCTCATTTGATCAGATTTCTCTTTGCTCGCTGGCGAATCGACTACATTAAAGCATTGAGCATGTGCCCCTGATGCAATAAGCAGCGATGTGATTGGCCTGAGCCGTTTTGGAACACCTTTCGGAGCAGCCAAAATGGTGTTTTGGAGCAGCAAAGGTGGCTTTTGGAGCACAGAACAGTGTTTACAAGCAGCAAAAGTGGCTTTTGGAGCAGATATTCTTAAAAAATAAAAACAATATTTGTTTTAAATGCTGGACAAACGAAGGGCTCTTTGCTCGCTGCAATAAACAAATTATGGTTAAGTTAGATCAACTTGGAGTCTTTCAACATGTAACTGAAATGCCAATGACATGACACATTTTGCAATGCTTCAGTTAAATTATATACATATATATGTACCAGCTAGGTAAATAAGAACCAAACTGCACATACTACTGGTGTTTTTAAAGTGAAAAAAAAAAAGAAGAAAAGACTTACCTTGTGTTATTTTTCATCTTTTGGCCCTCTTTGGGTGCATTAAGGGACGCAGCAATGAGTTGGCATGTCGAACGCTATCACCACTGCCGAACGCAGCGGAATGGTCCAGGTTCAACCGTCCCCCTCGATGCTTGACGACACAGTAATGGCGGATTTTGTCAAGTTTGCGCAACCGACACTAGAGGCGCTGACTTTCGTAAAGGGTCTATTAAGGCAGCTGGAAGCAATTGTTTTAATTTTACCTTTTAAGGAAAGTTATTCCAGAGTTCTTTGAATTTCCTTCGATTTGAACCTCGTTGTGCCCCTTTTCGGTCGAGACTGAATTGTATTCCCGACACTGTAAACGACTTATTTTTTGCGGGCTCAATATTTCGCGATTTAGGCCAAAGCTGAAGCTTCGGAATAATTTGCGGGTTCCAATTTTCGAACATGGCGGGATATGTGATATGGTGAATAAAGTTATCATTATCTCAATATAGATTCCAATGTGGTTACATTTCACCGGAATTGCTCGCGGGACCCATTTTTTGCGAATTGTAGGCAATTTGCGAACATTAGGTCCTCACGAAAATTAAATCGTTTACAGTATTATAAAAGAAATGTTGTTTACACTACGTCTGTCTTTTCTGGATTATAAATAAAATATTCTCCCGAGCAAGATAATGTCTTATTGCCTCCTTCCTCTAGACGAGAAATCTACAAGCAAAAAGCAGAACCAAGTAAATTTTGTTTGCAATCTCTGGCTTGAAGTATGCAAACTGACAATAGGAGGTTATGTAGTGATGCGATTCCTGTGCCATTTATGATAAATTCTAGCTAAGTGCTTCCCCCTCTCCATTTCACAAAGATGTTAAGAAGTTTCATCAACACTACACCATACTCTTATTTCGTTTTCCCAATGAAGAGCTTATACTCTGCGACAGGTCAAGAGTTGGGGGAAGCTCCTCCCACCCCTTCGAGCAGAGCAAAGCCTGGAGAGGAGGTCAGCACCTCTCCGGCGTTCGCACTGCTCAAGTGGAAAGAGGTGGGAGGAGTTTCCCCCCCCCAACTCTTAACTTGTCTCAGACTATAGGCAGCGCAGCACTGCTGCATTATACATCTGAAATGTCAAACCTTTTTATTACCGCTTCCGAGAGAGTTGTCGGGCGTCGCTCTCAAAGCCTTCTCGTATAAACCCGCGCTTGTTCCCAAGTTGTGTAGGCATGTGTGCGTGGCCTCGTCGGTAGCGTCGCGTGTCACGTGACGTTGCATGTGGCTGTGACGTCGTGACTTTATCGACCCGCCAAATTTAACGGGAAAACTTTCCGCTAAATTTGGCAGGAAAATTTTCTGCTAAATTCAACGAAGAAGTTCAGCGGGTCGATGGGTCATGACGTCACACGTGATGTCACGCGTGGCTGCATGTGTTGCGCTGTGGGATTTTAAGGTCCAATTGACTCCGACGCCGGATTTTCTGCGTCCTTCCGAGCGACAAAAATTTTGACGCACCAAACGCAAAGCGCGACTGCGTTTAATTGACCCGTCACCCTTTCTCGCCAGCGCAAAAGAAAATCGCGTATGAATACGAGACAAATGTGCTGTACCGAGCTACACGGCAAAACTGCTTGATCTCTCGTCCTTGCAAACAAAGACCGCCATCTAGCGGGCAGAGAAAAAAATACAAAACACATCAAATATAGCTCAAATCTTTCTTTCGGAAAAATCACTGTAGTTCCAAAATGAATTACCAAACACTAAGTATTTTTATACCAATCGTTTATGTATTAAATTTTAGAGGCACTGGTGCAAAGACAAATGTTTTTAAAAATTATTAGATTTATGCAAAACGACGTTGAACTTGAAAGTGCCAAAACAACCGTTTTCAGTCGATTTTACGATTAAACAAAAAAGAATATATGTACCAAATACTGAGAAATATGATCTGAACCAATCTGCCAATTAAGTATTAATCTCTTTACTGTAAAAGTTTTAAGCAAATAAAAAGAGCGGTTCGCATGTAGAAATGTTTTGAAAACGGCAAAAATCTTCATGTATTCTCTGTGGCATTTGGAGGTACTATGCACTCTTAAACGCTATTGCGTGATTAGTGTACTATTAGGTACGACACTCGCAAGGAATACGGACACTCCTAGGAAGTCGGGACGTTTCTCATTTCCATGGTTTATCATCTAGCTACGTTGAGAGCGTTCCTCGCCTCACGCTTGTGCATTGTGGAGAAGCAACACCCACGCAGCAGACATTGCATTCCTACGCATCTCTCTTCACCCCTGTGCTTTGAAGAAAAGCACCGAGAAAAGGTTGAATCTTGATGTGGCAACTCTACCTTGCTGATAATACATTTTTAGAATAAAACCGTGGCATGTATATATCGTAAACTAGGACAACTTGGCAAGTTGTGAGCATTGCTCGTAATGGCTCTTTAAATTTGAGATTGATAAAACGGTACTTGAGTATAAGAGGGGGGAAGGGGGCAGGCTCAGCTTAGGGGGCTGAAGCCTCTCCTGAAAAAATGTAAAATCCCATGTTTAGTTGCTGCTTCTATAGCCCTTCAACTACATACATTCGGGTCACTTTGAATTTCAACTAGAGACGCAGCAGTGAACACAAAATCTTGGTGATAATGTTGATAAGTTTATCAGCACCTTTACTGTTTTAAAGACCTGGATGGGTACTATGGAAGGGTTGGGTGTTTTTACGTAGGGATATTTATTATCCACATTCTCATTTTGCGCAGATTTACAAAGAACCGAAGCAAAATAACAATTAGTGCTCCATCTCTTTGTTATAGCCATGTGTCGGTTGAATACTATTTGTATTGCCCTTGATTTTGTGCTCTAGACAACCATTCACAGAGCTTGATAGAGTTATGCCCTTCAGCCATCACCTCATCAAAAAGCGACAGCTGCATGGCCTTTTCAAACAAACCCAATTGTCGCAACATTCTCGTTGACATGTCAAGTGCCTTGAGGTAAAACTCTAGCCAAGCGTAGTTTTCACTTCAGATAAATTTAATGTGCCACAAATAGCATTGCTTATTATACATAAAATATGCAAAACTCTGCATAACTTGATATGGGACATTTTTTTTAACAACTCGTAAATCTAAAGCAGTTATTCCATTTAATAATCTCTATTACTTGATTCAGATTTCTAATCAAATATTAGTAGCGCCGCAAATTTCTCGAGTAGTTAAATGATTTCCCCCATGTTTTAGAAGAAACCCAGAGGCTGTTCCGATTGCACGGCACATTGAGAAAGTCGAGTTGCTTGCATTCTTACAACATTCGAGGCTGTTCCCTGGAGGCTACTCTGTTGTCTCGAAGGAACTCTTATACTTTGACGAAAAGTTTAGATCGCTCTGTGCAGGCGCCTATTTTGGCGGCCCATTTTAGATAGATTGTTGGCATTTTAGGCACCCTACATATTTTTTTTGCGTATTTTTGATTCGGAGCATAAGCGTGCATTGGAAAATTCACCGTTTCAGCAGAGATCTGTTTCGCTGTAGGCAGTGCATACTTCCTTCGATGTGTTGCGGCATCATTTAGTACTCGTTTGTCCCTCCCCCACTAAAATGTCCTCACAAAAGTTTGAGGTATCTCAACAACCGAAAAACAACATTTTTGCTGCCATACGTTTGGTGCTTTCAAGCATAACTAGCTAGCTAGCTGAGAGGGGGAACCAGACTGCGTTGCTGCCGACCAGTTAAGGCACTGGAGTGGAAAAGCAAAAGAAGGCAACGATTTTTGAGTTGCCGGAAAAAAATTCCAAACAGGATGCACCCTGCATGTCCCGGCACTTGTTGAATGCTAATCTAGCTACATAAACGAGGCCGTGGGGCTTTCATATGCGCAGAAAATTAATTTATTTGCATTCCACCAAACTGACCATGAAAAGAAATGGACATTTTACAATATTTACGACACAAATCAACACGGAGAAATGTCAACATGAAACGCGGCTCGTCTCGGCCGGTACGGCCCGCATGACATAAGAATGCCAAAATCTTGAGGAAGCTAGACTGGCGGTTATGCTATAGGCCGTGTTCCAAATCTCACCCGAATGGGTCCGAGTTGCTCTGGCGGATTGTGTCACGTGACAACACAGATGAAAAACCGCTGGATGTGGGTAGGTTTTGGAACGCCAAGGTACAAAGCCCTGACCCCGGAAAAAGATGGAGGAAATTTTGGAACATGGCCATGCTGACAGAGAGGAGGGAATGGTGGTAGAGGCTGGACTTTTCAGAGAGATGCCCCATGGTTCTACATAGTACTGCCGGTCACTACCGTAGAAAAAAACACGGGATACTATCCAAACATAACAACATTTCTGAGAAGTGCTCTTACACTATGCCCGTACACTCGCCTACGACATTCACTTGCGTGCGAAAGAGTGTTACAAAATGAAATGACACCTGCCAGCAAAATACAGTTTTCAAGCTCCTTCTCTTTTCAACATTTATCCTTTACGACGACGTTAAATGCTCCAGATTTTATTGTTTCCCTCGTGTTTTAGACTGCGACGAACCGTCGTGAAGCGTGGGATGAAATAATTCTCGTTAGTAAAATTGCATTAGCGGCACTACCCATAAACAGTGTATTTAAAACAACCATTTGTAATTTATTAACTTTTAGGGCAAACTTCTCAGATTTTCACGTGCTTCGACAGCTGTTGCCTGGTTTTCTTGCACATTTCATCGGGCAAAAACTCCATTTCCCTCACAATGCGTAGACCTTCCCACAGAGGCCGCGCTTCATGGGCCCTAAGTGGGGCATGCACCCGGGCAGAGGTGTTCTTGCAAGCGCAGCACCTAAAGGCCTCCTTGAAGGGAGACTACGAGCAAAAATAGAGATGCACAACCAATAAAAGCTCGCTGGGATGCTGAACAGATGGCTCCATGCTTGTGGTATCTTCCTGAAAGTCACTCCAAAAGCAGCCGCCGAATTGTGAGAGCACACCAGGGAGGTCTGAAGTGCCTTGTTGTGGTCAGCTTTGGTCCAGGTATGGATTTTACAACCTGGTAGCACACGTGTGTAACTGCCATGTAGAGTGCACATCTGAATATTCGTGGACCGCATTAATTCCGGACTTCAACTTGGCATAGTTCAAAGGTTGACCGAGCCGTGGAGAGAAGGGTCGGACAGTGTAATCAAGACAGCAGCTGGCAATGCCACTCTGCACACTAGACAGATCCAAGTATGTTCTGGCATAGGGCAATGCAAAGTAGCCAAAGCCCAACGAGTGCACTTGAGTCTAATGAATTACACGCTTCATTCAATGAGATTGCTCCAATAATGCGGCACCATTGCAACGGGGTACTTCAATGAGATTGCTCAATAATGCGGCATACTGCAACGGGGTACTTCAAATCACTGGAGGATGTACTTGGAGCTCCCCTGTTGAGAAACGGAAACAGGAGAGGCAGGCTCTCTGGTCCACTAGGTGACCTGCCAAACGTGATGACCGTACCGACATTTACTCTATACTCTGTGTCTGGATAACTTGGCCAACTGAAGAGGCTGCGGCCACCGTAACCCAACAAGAGCGCCCAAGCGAGGCACGCGACAACCTTGTACAGAAGCGCGGCACAGGGAGGACAGGGAGGCTGTGGGGCCTCGTTACCGCCACAGCAACAGCGCCGTCCGCGACAATAAGCAGTTCTATGCTTGACTTTCTTTTAACGGCAATTGAACTCACGCGATCCCATCACTATCGAGGTTATATCGAGAATAAGAGGGGAATATTAATAGATTTATAAGTTTAGGCTATCCTTAAACCAAAAAAGTGATACCACATCCATATTCGCTCCCGATTTTCGTCTCCTCATAGGCATGGGAGAACACTACCGTGCAGTCTGCACAAGATGCCTTCGTGAGAGGACACAAGGTAAAGAATTCGTCTGGAAAGGGAGAGTGCCTCATCATCGTGCATGCTGGCAGCGAAGATGGGTTCATCCACGGTGCTGATCGAGTCTTCTGCACTAAGAAGGGCTTTGGCGACTACCATCGAGAAATGGATGGGAAACATTTTGAAGCGTGGTTTGTCTGCAGGTTGCTACCCAACCTGAAGCCCAACAGCGTGATTGTGATGGACAATGCATCCTGCCACTTGGTCAAGCTGCATGCCTCCCTTACGAGCCGCGCGCCGGAGGAATTGCAGTCCTGGCTGACCACCCACACCATTCAGTGGTGCCCGAAAATGCTGAACTGCTGGAGCTCGTCGCCAAGGGGAGGAGCCCGAGAACCGGCCTTGACGTGTATCGCATTGATTCAATCACTGAGCAGCATGGACACATACTTCGTCTGCCACCGTACCACTGCCAGCTCAACCCTATGGAGCTCGTCTGGAGTTGGGTCAAGCGGCTTGCTGCAAGCCTGAATATGACGTTCAAGCTTAAAGATGTTGAAGCTCTCCTGCCTGCTGCCAAGACAACTCCAGACAACTGGGTGGCTTACGTGAAGTACAACTTGACTGCTGAGAAGAGGATGTGGGAACTGTATGGCTTGGGCAGAAATGACGGAGAGCGTTGTGATGCAGTTGTGTGAAGATTCCACCACAGACGACTCAAGTGATCACCTGGGCTGGGGATCTTGGTAATGGAGACATTAGCAAGGAGCTGTGCCAATCGGCACTACAGGAGACAGTCTGGCTTTACTATTTTGAAACGGCTCTTTCAGAGCCACTAACTTATTGAAAACGGAGCAACTGCGAGTGCAATGCCACACGTGTCTCTAGTTTGTCACATCGTGGCTATGCTTCTCTTGATATGGATTTGTCTCATTTATAGGAGAAAAGCTGAAATACTCAACTCCGAAAGGTATCTGAGCACAGGACTATGTACAAAAAGATAACTCTACTTTCAAGGCAACTCTCAAGTTCAACTTTGTTCTGCCCAAACCTGCACAACCAGGAATAAACTGAAAACAATTTGCAACAGGGAGTACCTAAATGCTCACATTTCGATTCTATTCCTCTTCCAAACCCGTGCCTGGAAAATCACTCTTCCGCAAGTTGTTGATATTTACCAGTCTTCTGCAGTTATTATTATCGGAATGATATTCGGAAGTCAACAAAATAATAAATACAAGCAAGCACTTGGAACAAAAGTAGCTTGTGCAGGTCAACCTGCGCATGTTTCTGAAGGCAACATCAAATAAACAAAAAAGGAAAATGCGACAGTCTTTTGTCTTTTTGCGAACCAAAACATAGAAAAGCACCGGATGATGGTGTAAATATTTAACGTTATTAAATCTAAAAATGTAAAAAAAAACAAAAAAAAAAGAACAGTAATGCAATTTGAACTTCTGGAATTGCAAATGTCTAGTCCGCTGTTCAACCAATTGCACTACCCAAACACTTGCGCGGGACAGGTGAGCGCCGTAATATAAGAGCCACATGATGCGTAAAAGCAACTAGCGCGATAACATTTCTTGTACCCAAGTCACGTTTATCACAGACTCTTCTGACTGCAACAGTACACGACACGGAAGAAAGACATAAATTTGTTTCATTTCAACAATATTTCCACTCGGATCACCTCTTTTCCGCAAAGAATGTGGGTTTCGAACGATCCCAATCTTGTAATCGACCGCTGCCACTCCAAACATCGACCAGGCATTACCACTCGTTACAGATTCACGGTTAAATTGAGCATATGGGTTCTCATGAACTGTTTGCGAAGCACTCTCTACTCCAGCAGACGACAACGTTGCGGCAGTACACGTTCATCTGAAGTTGGTTGGTTTCGCAGCAAACGACACTTGGAAAGCAGGCGACGGCCAACTCCTCCGGCTCTCGCATTTGGTGCAGTGACACGAACGGTCACGTCAAGTGGTGTCACGTGCCTTGCTCCAACGCCCCAGTCGAGTCGCGTTGACCGTAGCCTCCGCAGTTCGCCGAGTTATCGTGAAATGGAGTATAGTCCCCGACGGGAGTAGAATGGCAGGGCATCTCTTTCGGACGCCTCCAGCAAGCACCCGTTCTCTCCCGCCATGCTTTGGCAGCGTGCGCATGCTCACAGCTCGCTATACATCAAAGTGTCGTGGAAGGTAGGAAGCCTGCACTGGTGGCGGGACGAGTGAAAAACCTCCCCGCTGTTCTCATCCCGACAGTGACTACAGTGCCAAGCTCTACACCTAGTAATAACCAGTCATTTCTTCTGTGACAATTAAGAAAAAGAAATATGTACGCAAAAAAAAAGGTTTAGACCATAAATGCCCTTCTAGTGATTCCCTTCACTTGTACCAATCCTAAGGGGAACTAGAGGAAGGGGGGCAAACTGTCAGTGCCGACGTCTTCGTGAGGCATTGCGGGTCCGTCCCTAGCGTGACTCTTGATCAGGTGGATCTTGAGGGAGTAGCTCTGCGGGAACCCCTTCCCACACACGCCGCACGTGAACGGCCTTTCGCCTGTGTGCAGCCTCGAGTGAGCCGTCAGCGAGCTCCTCTCAGAGAACACCTTCCCGCACGTGCCGCACCGGTAAGGCTTCTCGCCCGTGTGAACCCTCCCGTGGGCCGTCAGGTGCACCTTCTGGATGAAGGTCTTGTGGCAGATGCCGCACGAGAACGGCCTCTCGCCCGTGTGGACCCACTGGTGGTGCCTCACATGGGCCTTCTGCGAGAACGTCTGCTGGCAGGTGCTGCACTTGAACGGCTTCTCTCCCGTGTGCGTCTTCTCGTGCCTGGTCAGGTTAGTTTTCAGGTAGCTGGAGTAGGGGCACAGGAGGCACTGGTACTCCCTGCCTTCTGGGTGTGGGCGCCCACCATCTCGTACAAGTTCCTGGCAGTCAGGCTGGCTGCTGCTGTCCCCCCTGTCGAAGCCCTCGCCTTCGGGTCTGGAGGCCGGACTGTGAAGCGGCTCTGTTGGGGAGATGTACTCTGAATTGGCAGAAAACCACGTTCCAACCGAAAGCCCCAAGTAGGGAAGGCAAAAGACACTGGAATCTCCCAACGTCCTTCGCTGGATACGACGGGAGACGTAAAGAATCTTTGTCAAACCCAAGGTTCGACATCGAGCCTCGTGGTTCGAGTGGTCCGGCAAACTTTCGGAAAAAGTGGAGCAACTGCTATTTTTGCAGCATGGCTGCCTGAACTAGACAAGATCATCAAGATCACTGGAGAAGCCGTGGGGAGTTAGTCGTCACGACCACACGAGTGAGTGCCCGAGACTTTCGTGCACTACGTTGCGGTAAATGGGGGGTGTGACAATCACTCATTTTTCCCAGCGGGCGAGTTGTCCCACAATTCAGCCTATAGAGTGAAGTATCGTGTACGTCTAGAGCACCACCACTGCACTCCACAACTGCAAGCTACTGTATATTTGCACATATGGGCCACACTCCTGTAAGGGCTGCCTCATGTTTAAACCAAAATATTAAAAAAATAGATTTTAAAACTTTTTCGTGTAATTGTTGCACTTTCCCCTTGAAGCACGCCGAACGCTTTTGCAGAGTGGCACAGCGAAATTCTAAAAAATAGTTGGTTAACGCAAACTGCGAATAGGCACTTACAACGTGGCTTAAAAGAGCAACGCTGACCACTGTTGATGCTGGTCAGACTCGAGCACCGAGGATACCGCAGGTTACAACCATCGAGAACGGAATAAAGGCACTCAAGACCACTGCTTGCAATCGCAGGTACACGCACTTTCAAAACAACTTTGTTTTTATCCATGGGTGGCACCTAAAACTTAACCCCGAAATTAAAAAAAAAAAAAAAGTGTGGCCCTCACGTGTATTTCTATCATCCTTCGGAAATTAAAAACAGCGCGGAAAGACGAGGACCAGACAAAGAAGTGACACGGACGTAGCGCTGTGTCACTTCTTTGTCTGGTCCTCGTCTTTCCGCGCTGTTTTTAATTTCCGAAGTATGTACCAACTCGCCCAAGCCTCAACTTTAGTTTCTATCATACTCTCGCCCTTCAACACTATTACAGCCCCATGCTTGCTCAGGAGTGCAGGGTGAGCCTGCTCTTCACTTATAACTGTAGGCCATACTAAAAATCACTCATCCTCAGGAATCACTTTTTATAACGACAAAGGTGAGCTTGCTTATTATAACAGTTCCTCAAAAACAAGGGTGCAGTTTAGACAACATACAGTGATGAGCTGCACCATTTGCACCTAACTGCGCCAAAGGGCTTACCCCGCTACATTTGACCAAAATGTGAGAAATTTGTGCCAACATTGCGCCAAACTTCGGTTCACTTTCATTATACCGAAAAAAAGTAGCTCAGGCCTCGCTACCCAGCCGGATTGTTACGATACGCTCGTGCGGGTCTTCGGAACTTTCGATATTCACCACAAATAACGTACTATTCGATTTGATTTCACGTCAAACACTGACGGACTCGGATGTTTGGCAATAATTCTCATGTTCGCGGTCTGTTCTGGAAGATTAGTATCGTTGAGTGCGCTTGTCACTCCACACTGATGTAATGGAGTAAAGCGACAACTACGAGCAGTCATCACGGTTTTTGTGTGCATCGCTTGGCCGCAGCGCACCCGCTTGCTCGGGGGGGGGGGAGGGGGGGAAAGCACTCCTCCGGAGCGAGACTTGGCACAATTTCTGAATGAAACTTGGGCTTGTATAGACGACTGCAAGCGAGGTGGCTGGCCGCCACCGTGCTTCCGCTCGTGCTGGCACGCCCGTGCGATTGCGAGCGTGCCAAAGCTACATTCGCTGCACGTGCATGGGGCACCAGTCGGGGCTCCGTGCTTGTAACTGTCCATACCTTTCCAACGTATACAAAAAATGCACAGCCCAGCGTGTTATCTTCACAACCCAGCACGCACAAAATTGAAGATGGTGCCTGCTCAAAGGTCTTTATTGGAATGGTCTGGATGCCATATTTGAGTGCGCCGTTTCTAACGGACGTTCGGAACGAGCTCGCATTATTAGGCCGCTAAGACCAGAAATTTCAAAGGTCTGGAATGCACGCTGCAAAAGAAGTGCGTATGCCCGCCGTCGGCACAGGCTTAGCAGTCACGTATGCAGCTATGGCCGGCAGTGAGATTCTGGCGGCATCCTTTTTCCATTTGAGATTTTGCGAGGATACTTCGGTATTCCAAGATTTATATGCACTCTTCCATAGGTTTATTTTTTAGGCTTCCTTTTTTACCCGAATTAAGAATTACAGTTTAATTACAACCTAAAAACTTAAAGAGGCCATGAAAAGATTTTTCTACTTTCGCTACATACTACTCAGAGTCACTCCCATATGCTGATAACTGAATAAACTTGCCTTAAAGAGTTTCTCTCTAAGCAATGGCAGTTGCACAAAAGAAAATAAAGAGCATTGTTTATTTCCTCATTGCAGAGTCAGACAGAAGAAGCGGCCACATGGCCTGGCGCCTATCCCATTCCACTAACGGAAATCATAGCCACGCGCTGGGGGTGGCAATGCAGAAAACGCGTGCTGAGCTCCAGGCATTGTCAGAATTTGGCTATTCTCATGACCGCAGAGGTTGGACACAAGCCACTACCCAGGTGTTTATTGAGGCATTGATTTCTACGAGCCAAAGTCGAGTGCTCTCGCAGTTCTTGTGTCTAATCCACAACCGCGCTCGACTGTCGTCAGGCGGGTGATCCCACAATTACGTCATCCAGCTTTGCTAAGGCAAGAATGAAAGAAATAGTTCCCATTTACCCTCGCAATTTTGCTGTGACCTATGAGCTTCCGAATCAGTGGCAGTCTGTGCGAGCATACCTGGGGCCAAACTAGGACCAGTACGCCTCTACAAAGTCACGAGCATCCAAACTTAAAATTGTTTCATAAACACAAAAAAAAAATTATGCGCTTAAAATTATTCTATTCTGACATCTTTTCAGTGGGATTTCATACTTAAAATATCCATTCATGGCTGTTTGAGCTGTTTTTGATCAGGTGTGCTCTTGTTACCATGTTTGGTGCTTCTACACGTAATAACCAGCTAGTGTTGCGTATGAGGGACTCTCCTGTTGTGCGAATGATGCAAACAAAAGTCTACACATAAGTGAGAGTGCAAAGCAGATGTGGCCTTTTAGTTCGACAGGCCAACGCCTGAATTTCAATATTTGCACTGATATAAATGAAAATGAAGCATGCGCTTATGCTCCAGAAGCTCTTTTTGCTGCTCCAAAATGACTCCAACCAAGCACATCACTGACGGTGTCTCAGTTTCGGCTCGCATGTTGAGCTGCGACCGGTACTCTGGTTTCAACAATGTAACCGCACAGAAGCCAAGTTCACATTTCATCGGGTTCCCGAGCCGCTTTGCGACCCTCTGAATCTGTCGCAACCCCCTTTGCGGTCGCGCCTTACAGTTTAGGAAACACTGATAAGGGCATCACGCTTTGCGTGGGACATTCAGAATAAATTATCAAATTTGCCCGCATGATTTAGGTGAGCCGTCTTTTCCATCACAAAGGATGCTGGTGGCACAGCTTACCCTCCTTCACACTGTGCACTCCCTCCCGGTGTCCGTCCAAAAGCAGATGAGATCCCAGTCGACCTCCGGGCTCCAAAGTTGGGAAGCCTGTCAAAGTGGGCACAATGTTTCCTGGCAAAGAAAAGGCACAGGAATGTTTTATGCTAGCAATGGTGCAATGATAATGATGACGATAATCATTTATTTGTCTTAGAAAGGTCAGAACGCTCTTAGTCCACAAATGACAGACGTCGTACAGGGACCAGAAGGCAGAGGGACCACAATTAGTGAGCTGCCAGCTTTTCTTGAATGATGCCTGGTATTTGCAATGTGCAGTTCAGTGTTCTCACAAACTTGCACATGTTGGACGATACAACTTCAAACGCAGAAAGGCTAAAAATGGGACAGGGATGAGCTACTGTCAAAAACAGCCTCCTGTCCAATCTCAACACACTCTTTTCACGTTTGTGTGTTACGGTAAGTGGAGGCACGAGCAAATTAATGATTCATTATATGCAGCACGCATTGCAAAAAAGACCAGCAGAACAGAGCAGGCACATGCAGAAAGACCAACAAGGTGTTGACTCACGAGTCACGTATATTATAGTCGATGACCTAGTCGATGACAGGTCAAGAACAAAGTGGAAGGTCCTCCCACCTCTTTCCCCTTTAGTAGAGCGAATGCTGGAGAGAAGGCGACCTTCTCTCCACCGTTCGTTCCTCAAGAGTAAAAAGGTGTGGGGGGAGCTTCCACTTCGTTCTTGACCTGTCACCGGCTATAGTTTTCTATACTTCTCAGCAAAAATTACTAGTTTTTTATACTTCTTAGTAAAAAGCAAAAAAAAAAAAAAAATATTAATGAAATTTGCACAGGTTACATTGACTTTTTGCCAAATAGTCCAAGAGATGAGTTGTAACTTGCAAGTCATTGCCCTAGTTTTTCTTTCCGTGCGTTTGCCAAGTTATCCTGGTCTCTTTTGCGCTGTTGCCGCCCACATGTTCAGTTCACAGGCATGTCTCCTCTGCACACTTGTCTCTCTGCATACACTTTTTCGCTAACAAATTATTCTTTCGATTAGCCCCACCGCTGCCACAAAAAGCATAGTGCATTTAGAAATCACTTGGTATGTCAAAGTAAATAACCTGGAAAGAAAAACGGCTGCCCCCTTTGTCTCCACAATCCACTCAAAGTAATGACTCCCTAAAGAGAAGCACCACATGGAGACACAGGTCTACCATAAGACAAGATGTGCAAAACATCTAAAAAACATAGCAGTATTGAAAAAAAAAGCAAAAATTCAGGGTCATCTGACACAGAAGGTCTAAAAGAGACCCCCAAGGAAACCAAGAGTGGACAACACCTCTAGCGGCGAGCGTTTGTTAAGGCCCGTTCCCACTCTTGCGGCCGAGTATGACCGAGAGAGACGAGATCTCTTAAAACTTCTTAAATGTTTTTAGAATGAGGGAACACACTGGGCATTGTGGCGCCATCTATGGGGTGACCCTGGAACTGCATTTCACAAGAGCGAAAGTTTTGCGGGATTTCCGAGGTCAAATGTGCGTAATACTCATAGAAAGGCTCGTTTATAACATTGACAAAAGCTTTTTCGAGCCAAAAAAGAAAGGATAATGCGCGAGAAATAAAAAAAATATGCCGGACCGCCGAGTTTACACTGCTTCCCAATAGATGGCGCCAGTGTGTTCTCCGGTTTAAGAAGTTTTAAGGAACCCAGATTTAAGAGGTCGCAAGAGTGTGAACGGGCCTTTATAGTCCACGCGTCGTACACCGCTCCGCGCAACAGCAGACAAAATTCCAGCATTGGGAACGCCAAGACACGCACTCCCTCAAAAGAGGAGCGTCGTCTTCAATAAAGGCAACCGCGAGATTATTCCCTCCAATAGTAGAGACAATGCATAAAAGGTTCTCGTAGCAAAGTATATACCAGACCTGCACACAACACATAAAACAACCGCCAAAAATAAAAACAATGTCCGAGAAGCACCACTATGAAAACAAGCGCTTTGACACACAGTGCTCCGAGAGCACGTGGTTTCATCCTGCGCCTCATTGGCACGTGTTCTCATGCAAAAAAGTCGCTAAAAGACACCACACACACGCAGAAGTGCCTATATTCATATTGAAGCCCAGCGGAAGCTATGCTAGCAAAATATATAGTTGTCGGCAAACATAGAAACTTTTAATCTCCAAAAAGTACTATAGTCGGTTACAAGTCAAGAAGGTAGGAGAAGCTCCTCCCACAAGCGTGATGCGCCCGCTTCAAATCTCTCCGCAGTCGAAAGAAGAGTTCACTGGAAACGCTCCTTGTTCCGCTTCAATGGATTCCCACTTGTCTCCGATCCCACGTTTTAAGAAAGCGACCTTTGTATTCGTTGGAGAGGGAACCGAGCCCCTGAAAGCAGCCTTTGTATTTATCGGAGGGGGCAGCTAATCCCCGAAAGTCGTATTTGTTTCCGTCGGTGGGGGAAAACTCTAATCTCCCTCTCGTGGCTTCCACAATGCTAAGTAAAAGTCGAAAGATAAAGCAAATATGTACAGAAAGGCAAGACCCTCCTCGCGCGTTGGCCGCGACGTCACGGAAACGGTGGGACGCTATTGGATGCGGAGGTGGCGGAGGGATATCTGATTCCCTTTGAGGGGCATTTGCCGCTACCTTCTTAACCTGTAACTGACTATACAACAGGGGAGAACAGAAAATGAGATAAAACTCTGTTTTTTTTTGTTAAGATGAATGAATCAATAGCTATAGTTTGAGGGAGCTTTCTTTTTCTAATAACAAAAGCACTAAAAAAGAAAACCGCGACGACATCACAATATCCTCCCGCCCCCCCCCCCCCCCCCCCCCAAGAAAAGTGACGGAATTAAAATGAAACGAGTGGTTCATCCAGGGTAACTGGTGACTAGAAGTGAACCCTCCGAGACGGTGTTCAGTCATTCGCTGCTTTTGTTTCTGGAATGATGATCAGTAGAGCAGGGCCTGGAATGGATACAAGTTGCTCAGCACACCCAAATCTTTTGCAAAAACAAGCAAGAGAGTTCAGGTCATGCAATGCATGCTCTTAAATGTAAGGAGATTATAATCCGCAAAGATGTTTGCAAGTTTTAGAAATGCTGTGTGCGGAGGTAGGTGCGTCAGACTATATCCAGTCATTTTCTCGTAGAAACAGATGCACATGCTAAGTTTCCATAAAGGCCTCCGTGTGCACAAAGACATTGAAATAGCATGGACACCATTTTGTTGTTTGCTCGATTTTCCATGGAACTTTTTCATGTTTAATGAGGTGGTGCGTAAATTCCACTGCACGGAAGCAGCACAAAAACGACAAAGTATAAATGAGCGATTGATTACACCTTACCATTCAACATATCCTCAAGTCGATTACGCAGTTGGGTCCGACTCGCCAAAAAATTTTGAGTATGCCCAGCGTACACCCACATGAAAGGGTATGACCAGACATACTTCAAAGCACTGCATTTTAAGGAAGACACTGACACAGTAAAATGCACCAGAATAACAACTTCATTGCTGCAATCAATACGGATAAAGCAGCCCCTGAATACTGTCTCGACTGTGTTGTGTCGCGAATTAAATCTCGACGACACTAGTTTCGAGCGACAAATAGATGGACCACTTGAACGAATATATTATGTTCTGTCAAACACATCAAGCCGACGCACTTGTTTATGGCATCAGCAACAATGGCTGCCCTCCAGTGGTTGATCCTTGCAACAGATGTGAGGATACACTCTCAATTAATTAAACAGCGTAGTTGTCACAAAAGCTAGAATTTTTTTGGAAAATCACAGGGTACACGTATTAATAAAGGAATGGTCGCACCAGATGTCCGTATAAAGGCAGCATGTGGTGAGCAGACGGCATATACCACAGCCCAGCGCTACACTTTGTGTTCAAGATAGACAAAAAAAAAAAAGTTCTGGTGTGACTCCTGGACACTAGTGAACCCTCCAAAGCGGAGTTGTATCAGTCACTACGTTTTTTTCTGAGCGCGCACTCCTTCGAAAGCAATCAGCGAAGACTTCGAGTAAAGCGTAAAGGTACAAATCGCAGGTTTCACGTTTCGGTACACCTCGCGAAACGATTGGCAAAGACAACAAAGACGTATGATATAACAAAACACCATGTGGTAAAACACAGAAAAATCTGGAATAGGCAACTTCCTCAGGCGACGGACACGGTATAGCAAGGAATGTGCTGCCAAACACATCGAGATCTGAGGCTTGTTAAGCTCATCCGCAAAAAACCGGCACGTCACCAGTATCCGTATGACCGATGCAAGGATGCAGACACAACATGAAATGGCACAGTTATTATTAACAGGGGAACTCCCCTGTATTTCACGCAAGTTCAGCTCGGGTCCTCGCGTCGTACGGTCGTACCAGTCGTACTGTGACAAAAGAATCCATTCTCAAGCACTGGATTGGATTGTTCTTTTACTCTAGTCTCTAGCGCAATCTAAATTAATCCAATCCGTGACGATGTTGAAGTTCTGGTTCTTGTTCTGACGCACGCTCCCTGCAGAGGCTCTGGCTCCCTGCACTGCCTCCAGTTAAGTAGGTAGGTAGAAAACGTTTATTGGAAACGTTGGAAACCAAGAGCTACGAATAGGAAGATTATCCGCGCCGCGGTGATCCTCGGATCTGGCATCCATACCCCTGCAAGCGGAGCCGTAAGTTGGGACGCCGTGACGACAGCGACACTAGCGTTCGCTCGTGCTTTTCGCCAGCATTTCTACGACCAATCGCCAGGATCGCGACATGCAGCAGTGATGACACTTCGGCTTCTGTGATGTCATTGGTTGCCACTTCGGGAACACATTTGGTGTATGGGCGGGATTGAACGCTACACACACCAGTCGGAGACGCGCCCCAGGCCCTCCAGGCACCGATTTACGAGTTGACGTGTGCTGCGTGCCCCTCTGTAGGCAGACTAATGACAAACCTGGCATTAAGGTACGTATTCGTAAATGTACTCGTTATCGGTTGACGGGCGCCGGTCGGGTGGGGATATTCAGCGGCGTAGACGTTCGCTTGCTCGTGTGCAAGAACGGAACACGAGCTGTTCCAACCGAACGCTCCTTGGGCGTTTGAGTACGGTGTTTTTAATCTCACTTTGTAGCGTTTAGAGGTAGAGCTTTTAAGTTTCAACTCATTCGAAGAAATCAAGCCGTCACATAGAAATGTAATATTTCTCGTAAAACCGCTTGTGGACATGACAGCTTCGAGAGCGCGTAGCATCTCGTACTATGCGCGAGTTCGCGGTGCTTCCAACTTGCGCGTGTAAATTACGTGAGCACTGATGCCGCTGGCATGGCCTAAAAAGAACAGTGGCTCCAATCCACGCTGTAAAGGTGGATTTTCTGTCCAACCACCTGTAAAGGTGGTTGGACAGAGAAGCTGTAAACGACACCCACAACGATTACCCATCGCGACGTCACTTGAGAAGCGTGACGTCACTACGTGATTTCTGTGCTGTTGGGTACTTTTTCGCTCGGAGTAACTTATGCAACCGTAATCTACCGGGAAACACACGCAGGGAGAAGGGACGTGCTTCGCATTGTTAACAACCATTATGTGGTTTGCACGTCACACGAGGGCAATTCGAATGACGTCAACCCGTTTCGAAGCAGCTGCAAACCTAATCTTTACCGGGACGCGTGACAGGGTGTGCCTATTGGGCAAGAGATTGAACTATTGGGGGCGCTCTAACCCCTTTGTCGTTTCCCCCCTCGGTGTTTACTCAACACAAGGCCTGCGCACATGCCAACAGGCCTTATGGGCTTGTCTATGTCATCTTCTACAATAGAGCGCTGGGCAAAGTTTAATGTAAAAAATACTAATAATCGACGAAGTGACGTTAAGTGCCGGATCTATCCTCAGAGAATGCGACCTTGACCGACTTCAGCTTTTGTGCGGAGCTGGGACCTGGCATGCTGCATTGTTCATGCAGGCCGTAGTGGAAACAAAAGAGCCCCTCCTCCCCTTCACCGGAAAACACGAACTCCAGCCGAACGCTGACGCAGCGTTCAATTATGTCGGCCGAACGCTGAATCATTGTATTTGTTGTCCCCATCCGTGTAGTTCTAAAGTTAACCGCTTGGGGCGTCACAGTCGCTCCTCCTCTCCAATTGTTGACACGCGCCTTATCATCCACCATGTGGTTTTCTTTATTGAAACGGATACTGAGCTGTATGCTGTATGCCTGACTTCAAAGGAGATACGCTGTTTTGCCTTCAATTGTTCGCCGGGAGTTTTCTGCTTACAATGCCTGCGGCACGAAAATTTTCTTGGCTGGTAAAGGTATACAGGTTCGCCGTAAAATTATGGCACGTCTCGAAGACAATGCGCCAATTTACTCTCGCCTCATTTACGTGGGCGATGGAGTGGCCGCCCATGTCGAGAACCACTTCCAACTTCACGAGTTGCAGTGCAGTGAAGTCCAGACGACGAGGCGGATCTTTTCGACGGCAGGAATCCAGGCAATGGCGTGGGCTTGTGAAACATTGGACAACGCCGCATGATTTGCGGTCGCCTGCCACTGATGTCGTACAAGGTGCAGGTGCTTTTATGCAGGCACTAACACGCAAAATAAAAAAATGTCCGCTTGCTGCACGTTGGCAATAGCGAGCTTGAAGTATTTCTAAAAAGAAAAAGGGAGAGAAAAGATGTTAAGGGGGGGTGCCTGCAATTCGGTCATTTCCCATGTGGAAATATGAAAAATTGAGTCAAGGGGATTCCCTCGTACATGGCACGAAGTGCAGACTGAGTGGAAAGAAAAAAGTGTTTTACTAGATTGCATGTGGTGGCAAAGCTCACGGTTTCTCATCAAGAACGTACTGATTACTAATAAACGAGTGCAGGCTATGTGCCTTTTATCTTAAGAAAACCCTAAAAAAAATGTTTTTTTAAACAGCCTGGTTGGGACACACGTGTCAAAAAATAAATTTTAAATCTTCTTTTAGATCAATATTGATGGCGAAAGATTTATTTGAAAGTCTGCACGCAAAGTCCATGACGTTGCGAAATGGTCATGGGCTCTTTCGACCTCAACGTGAAGGTGAAGCCGATCCACCTCTCCTCCACGCGCCCCAAATGCCGAGAGAAAACAAATGGACAGGAGGGGACTACCAACAAAATCACGTCTTGCGCCGTCAAAACTGCTCTAAAAAACGAAAAGATTTTGCGTAAAATTTTTTGCCACGCGTGTCTCAATTAGAATGTTTAAAAAAATTGTAGGGCCCATCCACTTGACGTGAAAATGGAGCACCAGCGAAGCGGATCTTTATGACAACTATACGACATCATACAATTTTCATATGATTGCAATGAAGGCGCGTACAAGACTTTGTTGTTTAATTGTCTTTATTTTTTTATTGATTTCAAGTCTCTTTATCAGCATCGCGGAAGCGAAAGAAAGAAAGGTTACATCTGCGCGTTCTGCCCTGAGCCTCAACACAGCGCACCCTTAGCCAAGTCTGCGACTAGATGATAACGAGGGCTCAGGACCTCACTGTCGAATAATGCCAAGGAAGGGTGACTCACGCTGGTGCCCCCTCTTTTTATTTATACCTTTTTATATCTGCCACAACCAATAGGGGTATTTTTGTTAACATCTGTGGTTTTCCAGACGCTAGCACATACCAGCTAGGCTGTAAAAAACTTCTTTGTTTTCTTTTCAGGGGCCCTTTCAAAGGGCGCATCACCGCACTCTCTTGCTCCTGTGCCAAGCCCCTGATGATGACTTTTTCTATGGTGGAGGAGCCCTCGCAAGGGTGGAAGAAATTCAGACGTTGAGTGACTGGCACTGTTTAGCTTTCCTTTGCCATTTCTTTTTTTTTTTTACACATCCTGTTATTGTTTTGCTTCCGCAACGGTAATCCACTGCAACATTGACCTGCTTACACATATATTTGTTTTTTATTTAAAAAATATAATGCAACATGTTTTTGCAGGTAGGAAATTTTATTTATTTGTACTCTGCACCGCCAAAGCATTAAAGCGGAGTGGGTTACAGATCATATTTATGCGAAAATTCACCCATACTGCACAAGCCAGCAACCAACGATACAATAAAGAAAAAACATAATTCAAAACAAAAACAACGCATAATCATAAAATTTCAATAACACCAAAAATACTAACAAAGATATTCACATTGCATTGATCAGGTTAACAAAAGATGCACTGTCAACTACCTAGTGTAATATCCGGAGGTAGCTCATTCCATTCCGATAGAGTTTTCGGAAGAAAAGAAAACATCACGTAGTTAGTTGGACATTTTATTTCGCATATTTTCTTTTCATGATCCCTCCTGCTCGACATATAATGGAGCATTTGAAGATAATTTGTTCATTCCAGTTAAATGATTATGAATAGTGTAGATAAGCTTCAGTCTATTTTTCTTACGCCTTTTTTTGAGAGATTGGATGCCCATACAAGCTTCCGTCACTGTCACACATTCTGCTTGAGAACAGTTATTTCCAATAAATCTAACGGCACAGTCTTGAATGCCCTCGATCTTGTCTAGGAGATATTTTCGATGCGGATCCCATAGTGCAGTTGCATATTTAAGGTGTGGCCCAACTACTTTTAGCATGACTAGGCTAAGGACCCTGCCAGCCTTTTTCAAGATCATGTGTTGATGGAAAAAGAGGTCTTCTCAAAGAATTTAGTTTTGGATACTTTTCGCAACGAGTCTCTTCCAGTAGCAGAATCAGTATTCTGTTTCTTTTTGCTAAATGGGATGTGAAAGCATTTACTTGGGTTTAACCCCAGTCCCCAGGTTTTACACCACAAACTTTGAGATCCTGCAAAAACAACATTCATTGACATTCTTTATTGCTCCGTAAATTACCAGTTATGAAAGATCCTCCAGATAAAGTTAGAAGAAAATTGAGGATGATTATTTTTTTAACTGAAGCACAAAATTGATGCTGTTTTATTCAATTTTGCAGAAATTTTTGGGTGCAATGAAAAATATATTCACGGTAGTAGAACTCTATATTTTGTTTCTGAAAATGTACAAAATATATATACTTGGGGCAAAAAATTTGTTGAAAAATGCCTTATTACAAAAGAGTTCCTCAAAAAGGTGTTTAATTTTTATTTGTTTTAAGTATATGATCGGATGAAATTAATTTTAGTAGTCGAGTTTGCGTGCTTTGGACGTAAATGATTTTGATAATGTAGACAATTGTATTTTTTATTAAGGCGCCTTCAAAGTTACGTTAACGCACGATTGGGAAAGTCGTGTTTTCAACCTCATTTTATTTTTCTCAGGAATACGAGAAAGTTTTGTGCAAAAGTAAGGTTTCTACCGTTATGTGGGCAGATTTCTCGAGCTTATAAATCAATTTAATTGGAAACAAAATCTAGGCGTGACACCACTAGGACTGTCCCTATCTGAACACACGCTGCTGTGATGGCATTCTTTCTCTGCAAAGCATGTTTTGTTTCTT